AGAGGGTGTGTGCTGGAGAAATGCCGCTTAATGCCGCTGACTCTACCAGAGGGTCTGTCTTGGACAAATGCCGCTAAATGCTGCTGACCCTACTTGAAGGTCTGTATTGGACAAATGCCGCTAAATGCCGCTGACTCTACCAGAGGGTCTGTCTTGGACAAATGCCGCTAAATGCTGCTGACCCTACTTGAAGGTCTGTATTGGACAAATGCCGCTAAATGCCGCTGACTCTACCAGAGGGTCTGTCTTGGACAAATGCCGCTAAATGCCGCTGACTCTACCAGAGGGTCTGTGCAGGATAAATGCTGCTAAATGCAGCTGGTCTGTGCTGGACAAATGTGTTGGTATGATGTTGTTGGCCATGATTTTCGTGACTTCTTACATGAAGGAATAGCCCTTTCTCCTCTGTTTCACTTAATCTCACCTCTTATTATCCTGATTTGCATTGTTTGTATATATAGCCTTTTGAGTTTGAGAACTTTTTGCTATCTCCGTAATTCATCCATATGTTTACTAGTATATAAAATGCAAAAATGATTTGATATTTTTTGAAAAATGAAATACTGTAAAATCACTAATTTTCATGGGGGTTAATTTTCGTTGTTTTTGAGGCAAGGAGAGACCCACGAATTGATAACCATCAGAAAATGTAAAATTTGATATACATTACTACTAAAACATTCTCCATCCACGAAATCTACTCCCTATAAACCAAGATTTTTTCATTAAACCTCGAAAATTTGACCCACGAAAATATGTGATTTTTCAGTAAAGACAGGTCTTGCAGAAAAAGAGGATATATTCATACTTTATAAGCTTGAAAGGAAATATTTCATACTTGTTACTCTGTGGAATCTTAAAAGCCATTGCATTTTCTATCAAAATCAATACTATGCAACGTTCAAAAAAGTATGAGACCTTTTTCACATAAAAAATATATAGATTTTTTCTTTATATTCTCTTATAGGAAAATTTCGGAGTTGAAGTGTTAAAAGTCTCTAAAAGTTAATCTTTTATAACACTACAAACATTTGACCTTTGTTAATAGGAATATACTTATAACAGGGCAACTGTTCACAATATCCTGCGATCAGTAGCTGTTCTGTAATTACCCTTTTGGTTGAGTTGTTGACAATTGGTCAGAATTGCAACATCGTTAGAAAACCACCCCTACTGGTCACTAACAAGTTTCCTGTGGAGGCCTATAATTAGGACCCTTCAGCTATGGTCAGTTTCCAAAACATCGAATTGTCACTATCCATTTACCACTTAAGAAGAAGATTGTTTAATTCTACATCTGTCCACAGTGGGCCGAACAGCACCACGATGTAGTTAGCCGTTGTTTGCCGGTTAGAATTTAAACTGACCACTGATAATGAACATCATTAAAATTCAGCGTTATTTAAAAGTTGGATTTTCACTTTTTATCCTAAGCAAGCAACCAGAAATTTGAGAATGCAATGAAAATACAATGGAATTCTTTGTTGCTATATCTAAGAGATTTCCTTTCAACTAAATTTTGAATTTGATTTGGCCTAGTCTAAGAAATATATTAAGTGAGAATGAATAAGTTCATAATACATATCTCTTTGTGTCTCTCTTTTTTTCATAGATAGAAACGAGATAATAAGCCTATATATTTAAAAGCAGGTTTTATAACATGAAAAAATAAAAAAAAAACATTGAGGTAAAATTGATGTCGAACAACAGCGCGTTACTTATTTAGAGACGCGTGGCGCCCACGTTTCTAGGCATGCTCATTAACTGACAGAGCGTCAAGAATATTGAAATACTTGAACATTATTTCTGCCACTTTTGAAATTTATAAGTTTACTTTTACGAATTGTCACATCCGGTATCGCGTTGATTTCAGATTAGCTATCTCTCTATCATTGAACTTGAGCAGGTGCAATTTAACATTTCCTGTCCCAGTAGAATACCTGTGTTGAGAAGTTGCGTCTTATTTTTTAAAATTCTGTTATCTAATATCAACAGTTCCCCATATCGTCCATTTATCGATCGAAATTTCACAAAGTTTAAATGTTTTGAGTTTTAAAAATATCCACCAGGCTTTGATAACTTGGTATCTCTATATGGACGTTGTAGATAGCCTTTCCAAAAAGCCATTAGACCCCAAACTGTTAGTTGTTTTTCTATAGTTTTTTTCCTTGAGGAAGTTAACACTCCCCCCCCCCCCCCCAAAAAAAAAGAGGAATCGACATTATAATATTTATTTCATTCCTGTTATACATCTATCCTTTCACATTAAAGAAGAGACCGAAGCGCCTTAATGATCACCTGCGTATAAATCAATAAAAGGGTCAATAGAATTTGATTAAAAACATAAATTTAATTTACATTGCTCTAAAGAAGAAAAATATTATCTTCAAAGGTCAACAAAATAGTAAGTTTGATTATCAGCATAATTGTTCTTTAACTCAAAATATTCATACAGTGAACCCAGTTGGCTGTTTATTCCATTGTCCTTTATTGATCTTTGAATAACATTCAATGTACGGGTATTTTTATATCATCTCTTTTTTTTTATTTCTACCTGACCAGTAATACCTATTAAAATATTTTTTGAATTTTTCACTTAAAATAATCTTTTTCAGCAACTTCTCTTTTACCTCTGAATGAAATTTAACGAGACTTTCACAGAATCTTTCTTACATAGTGCCATTGTGATCTCCTATTTTACTTTTTGATTAGACACATATTTGGGTTTCTCAGAGCATAACTTAGACACGCCATTCTTTCTATAATATTTAAGGGTACCCATCTCTTATCCGCAATTCCTCCGATACAACTGAATAAAATTTAATGATACTTTCACAGATTCTTTATCAATAATGTCATTGTGACCTCTTTTTTTTTACCTTTTTATCTGACACTTGTTTCAGGTCTCAAGAGCAAAACATGGACTTTGCCATTATAACCATATGGAAGGCGGGGTATCATTTAGTGAGCTCATTATTCACAGTACTTCTATAGTTTGTATATGCTTGCTCATTGCTCACAGTACTTCTAGTTTGTATATGCTTAGATTCAGGAACAAAGAATATTCTCAAAACATTAACGCATTTTCCAGAACCACAGAACCAGGGGCCACGAATATCACGATTCCTTGCCTTTTGTACGTATGCATTCGAGAGAATACATGATCCAACACTTACTACGGAACCCTCGTCCCTGGAGCAATGAATTTCGCAATTTTGGTTGAGGGCTGTTGAAATAATTATCATAATAATACTGAACGTTTGACGGCTTGAAATCAAATAATATAAGAATATAATTTGAAGATTGGAATATTATGATTTTATCTTCCAACCCTCAGACTCCAGGGAACAGAGACCATGAAATTCACAATTAGAGGAAGAAGCCAAAAAATTCACAAGTCTACGACAGACAACTGACAAAAGTCACAAGGTGATAAATGAAAACAGAGAGCAAAAAGTCATAAGTGATTCAGGTGTCCTAACCATTCTTGTAAGTTCAAAATACTTACAATCATAATGATAGACCAAAGAATCTGTCTGTCAGTAAAAGCTAATGCCTTATCAACTTGGTTCATTGTTTTATGATGTGACAGATTATTCCTTACTTGTGGGACCACTCTCTTCCTCATCTACTGCATCTCCGATGAGTTCAGGTTGTAAACAATTTAATATTCATCAAAGTGCTCCCTTCTCTATTATTTTATTTCCTCCGTATTGGCAGCTCAGGATCTTGACCTCTTTGTCCTTGATTGCTGTTGTCATGATTTCCTCTCCTTACTTCGCACTCCACACACTGTTTTCATGTGCCCGTTACTGGCTGCTCCTTTTGCTTCTGTTATCATGTCTTTTGTCCACTTCCTTCTGTTATCTACCATGCTTCATTTTACCTTTCTGTCTTTGTCTATATTTGATGCTGGTTTCTTTTCAATGGGCAAGCACCCCTACTATGATGAAAAAATCTATCTTGCATTTCCCAAGAGGAAGAAAACGTTAAATTCTGTTCTGGAGGAGGGTTGTGGTGGCTATGGTTAGTTTTCATCGATAGGAATCTTTATAGATTTTAGAAATGAAAGTTGAAACAATAGAAATAAAAGTCTCCATGTGCTTAATGAAAGTGTTTTTTAAGTGCAGAGTATAATCAATATTTTTCTGAAGGTTTTTCTTCCAGATAAAATTTGTAAGTAAAATGGGGTTTCAATAATTTATATACCCATTTACGTACATATATCATTTACTAGTAACTGAGAGTCATTATCTAAATACATGCATCATGTTTTTAATTATTTTCATACATTCTCTAATTGGAACTTGGACTCTTATTTCAAAAGAATATTGTAGGAATTTTGTGTGCAAATACATCATTAAAAGTATTTGGAATCTTTGATCCTCATTCTATACAACAACGAACAGCTTAATTTGTATTTAACAACAAAGATATCAATAATTGTTAACAATTTGAAAACATTATAAAAGAAAGATTGAAAGACCAAGGTAGTCAGTATAAATTCACGAACAGGAACTTTTCTATGAAGAGAGGAAATGTACATGTTTAAGAAACTGGATCCTTTGTCCTTAGCTTTTCAAGCTGTAGGTTTTATGATAACGATAGGAATTACAGAATTTTTTTTGGATTAAGTTGGCATCTTAATGCATTGTGGAGATGAAAGAAGGTTAACTCTTTCCAAAAAATCCTATTTACCTCTATGGACCAGAATCGGTCCCCGTTAAGAAATCGATCAAATTAATATATAATCAGTGATATCAATTAGAACTATAGTATATGATGTCAATCGAGGAAAGTGTAGATCAGTTAATAATAGATGATCAGTGATTTGAATTAAGTGTTCAATTCATCGATTTTGTCAAATTACCGAAGAGAAATTACACCATTCCATAAAACTCAGCTTACCTTAAGAGAGAGACAATATGATGTGATTAAAGCTGATACATGATTTGAATACATACCTACAAATGGAAAAACAATCCTCATGTGGAGAAAACATGACGTCATTACAACAGACGGAGATGACGTCATTACAACCACCAGATAACTCCATTCGTGGTCTTTGGCGGCAGTTCAGGGATTCCTCGTCACTACACGGGCTCTCTCACATCTCAAAGGAAAGGACTTTTGTTCGAGGGTAAGAAAACAGAATTATATTATTCCCTAGCTCCTCCTTGACACCTGCATCAAAGACCATAAAATGAAAACAGGTTTAAGTAAGAATTTCAAACCAATACAATTTTAGAAATAATTTTGATAATGAAACAAAATTTTTCACATGCATTCGACTTTGTGGATTATAAAAAAAATTGTAAGTTTTTCATGCACAAATGTTAAATGGAATTTGAAATAAAAAAAAAAATTAAAATTTTGACTCTCGTTTGTTCTCAGTTTATAGGCTTTAGATCTGAACTCAATTCTAATGTTTTTAGAGAACCTGTTTTTGCTCTTCTCCTAATTTATATTGTTCACCTTTGATTTTATTTCTTTATTACTGTGTTTGCTTTCTTCAAAGTTCACTTTAAAAAGGCCTATCTAGTTTTATCTAATCATATAAAGAGCTGATTTTGTTATTTAACTGTTATTATTTACTGATTTCAGAATAATTTGGTTTCTTCTTGTGATAGTCATGGGAATTTCCCTGACAATAACTCTATATAACCTGAAGCTTCAATATTTCACCTACCCAACATTGACAATTTTCAACATCAAAATTTCGGAGGAGATAATTTTTCCTGCTGTGACTCTATGTAATATCAGTCCATACAAAATGTCCAAGTTGAATCCAGACGAAGCAACAATGGATTACTTGAAGAGAGGCAGCAATATTGGATCCTTTGTTCCACCTCTGAATTTCAGCGATCCTAAGTATTCCCCGTTATATGAGAACGGTACAGAAGGGTGGTTGGTTAATGTTAGTAACAGTGTAAGTGACTTGTTCGTTGCATGTAAATGGAAGGAAACAGTATACTTCGACTGTTCCGAGTTGTTCACCCCGCACAAGACTGAGTGGGGGCTCTGCTTCTCCTTCAATGGCCTTGATATGGAGGAACCGAGGACGACACATTACACTGGAAGCATTCTGGGATTGACTCTGTACTTACACATCAATCAGAGTGACTATGTGTACGCTAGAAACATGGGAGCAGGAATCAAGGTAAAGCTGTTCATATAAACTAAGTGTAGCTTAAGTATCGTCCTTCACTTCTCTTTTTATGAAAAAAAATGTTTCCATGGTTAAACGTGATTTTAATAACCGATTACTATCACTGTTTTGCAGCTAATAAACAATATGAAGAAAATTGTCTGTATTTGACTTTACATCTTTATTGCGAATTTATTGTCTGAAACTCATGCTTGTTGTAAATTACATTTAGTAATTCGTGTTTATTATAACATTATATTTTTCTTATTCTGATTTATAGTTAGTAATCCACAATCACAACGAGGAACCTAACATCATGGATTCCGGATTCCTGATATCCCCCGGATTCACAACTTATATGCCTTTAGAGATGACAGAGGTTTAAAAACAAACTAGTAGAAAAATAATGAAAATATTTTCTATGCCTAAGAAAAGATGTTCAAATCATGAACAATTCTTATCCATGCATGGTACTGTTGATTAGTTTAAACATGGAAGCCCTATTTGAGAACTAGATAGAAAATGCCAAAATAAGGTAGCATGGCATATTCAATTACTCCAATGATTAAAAATGCAAAAGATAACTAGTAATTAGTAATCAAATGTTACTTGCAGTACAAATTCCTTCCCCACCCTTTCAAGGCATTTGGAGATGAGTACTGTGAAGATGTTGATTATCCTGGATTTTACAACAATCTGAAGCATCACAGACTGTATAGTTACAGTGGCTGTATGCGGGAATGCAAGGAAAAATTCGCTTATCAGAAATGTTCGTGTCGTAGTCATCATGATTTAGGTAAGATATTCCCGTAGATTTATGAATATTGTAAGCATTTAAGCTTGTAAGCTCGAATACTGTTCTATATCTCCATATATTTTATTTAGGCGTATTCCAGAATTTCCGGGGGTCCTTGATTTATTTAATAATTTGCATTGTCTGTAGTTTTCTTATAAGATCAATCACTGTTTTTAAATATCCTTACCTTTTTCATTGTCAACAGGACCCTTGGATCCAATATGCTCTATAGAGAGAGATTACCACTGTCACAAACCAGCAAGGGGTAAGTAACACATTTCTGTTCTGTAAACAGATATCAAGAAAGATTGCCATAGCTTCATTTGTTGGCTACTGTTAAGATATAAAAACAAATGTTCATAGGACCAGGTTTGAGTTAGTAATGCATATTACACTAAAGCGTTTGATGCTATATTTTGTGCATGACTTTTGTATAAGGTTCCACTGAAATCACAATCAGATGTTTTCCGGAAATATTCCTTCAAGGATGTTTTTGAAGCGGGAATGCATGAAATCTTAAAACATTTCTACTTTTGGAAAGAAATGTTAAAATGCTTAATTTTTTCTTCGTGTCATATGCATATGGTATTTTAATTTCAGACGAGTTTGATGGAAACTTGACATTACAGACTGAGTGTGGTTCCTGATTCCTTGCTCTAGCACTGAGTATAAAACTCACATATCGAGTGCTTACTTCCCAGCCAACTTGTACGAAGAGTGGCTCAAAGCTACATTCGGGTACACTGACATACGGTAAACCCTCAGTATGGGCAAAACTCTGATTTACTTGTATTTATTGAATGTTATGGGTGAAATGAAGAACACAAAACTTATATAGGACAAATCACTATTTAACTCTGTAAGAGACCAATTTTCAAATCAGCTTAAATTCCACTACCTTCAAGACATTTATGATATAAAGAATGTAATTTTATTTTGATTTCCCTTATTGATTAACCTAAACTTTGTATGGTAATTGTGAATAATATTAAAAATTTAAACATGATGGTCAATCTTAGAAAATTAGTACCTCTCGTGTTTCGTTTCTCAGAGAAAACATCATGGAAGTGAGGATATATTATGAAACACTGATATACAAAAGCTTTGAGAAAGTTCAAAAGATCACTTACGTTGAAATTATGGGTAAGTTCATTCATTATATTGATGGCTTTTTTTTTTTTTTACTTTGAAATGAAATTCATTTTTCCTAGTTATTGAAGGACATGTATTTAAGCGTCTGTTTACTGAATTCGATACTGGAATCTGTAAAGGCGAAAGTTATTTTACCATAGAACAGAGAGACAATATTCATATGGCCATTGGAATAAAAATACAACAAAGTGACAAAATTTTAAAATGGTTTATTATTTCATTCCAGGTACAATAGGCGGGCAGATGGGTGTGTTCCTAGGAGCCAGCCTATTGACGTTGTCTGAGCTCATAGAAGTCCTGATTCTGTCTCTCATTGTTATGTGTAAAAAAGCACTTCGTCCTGCGAGATTAGCGCCCTCTCCTACTCCCAGACCATCCACGAAATCTCCCTTAAGTATCAGCAATGGTCCGCTCTGAGATATCCAATACTGTTCGAACTGCATTTACATGGTGACATCGATATCTTCGTTTTCTTTTCGACAGTGTCTTTGAACTTTGATGGTTTGCAGCTTCTCTGCTATTTCAACAAAGAAAAAGTCTAAACCTACATTTCCATTTCGAACAAAGTAGAATTTTGCCTTTTAAAAGTCTTTGAAGTTACTTTACAGGTGTGTTATAAGGTTTCAAATTTTCATTTTCATCCAGGAGACAATTTTATTTTAAAGCCCATGAACATTTTTTTTTAAAAACAAAAACCTGGTTTCAAAACATATTCTCATTTTTTTGCAAAAGCTAAACTGTATTGGAATAATGGTTGTTTTTTTTTCAAAAGTGGAGTGAGATATTTTATATTTTTTATTTTCATCAGAGTAAAAAATTTAAGGACCGAAAAATGATATTTTATTTTAGAAAGTAAGTAAGTAAGTAAATTGTTTATGATAGTGACATGTGTTATACAGTACAATGAAAAACATTTAATACAATTAATATCCAAACACCCGGCCCATCGGACCTATATGTCACTTTTAACAAAATGTATGAAAAATATATTTTATATTTTTTACCACCAGAGGACTCTAGCTTTTTATCCTCGTGTGAAGAACCTTGTAAATGCTAATTATTTCCATAGTGATATATTTTAACCAAATTAATCAGGTACATGTACGATGCAATGCAGGTACATGAAATGCAAAACTTGTGCTCCTAGTATTGTATTATTTTAACCAGTCTGAAATCGAATAGCTTATTATAGTTACTCGTATCTGTATTTATTAAAAATTGACATATGAAGAAGAAAAAAAGATATTAAAAAGGGACATGGAAAGGTAAGATATAATTAAATTTTGAATCGTTCATTTTTCTAGAGTTAAATCCTTGATGGACATGATATTTCACAATGAAATACGTATATGTAGCAGAGGTATTTACCTCAAAGTCATGTCCAATACTATTTCATTACAATTGAAAATATAATAACATGATAAATAAATATACAAATAGAGTAAAGTGTGCTATACTTGTTCATTCCGGAAAACATTTCGCTAGTTTCCGTTAAAAGTAGAAACATTTTACATGCTGAGGATCCATGATAACTTGTCAAATCGAGAAATGTTCCACCGAGTTTGCAGTCTATATCAAGAGCAACATGAACAATATAAAAGGTAGGAATTTAATTATATCCTTTATTACATCACATATCCTTATTTTTATTATATCGAAAGATAAGATAAAAAAGAAAATTTAGATTGGTGTAAATTTTATTGTAAATGACTCAAATAATAAATTTCTTCAATATTAACTCTTAAGCACTTTGAAACTTACTATGTTCAAATTTTAACCTTTCTGTAACCATTCTATAGTCTTTGTAGCTTTTTTTGTCACTTTAAATCCCATTATTGTTAAATCCAAAATGAAAATTTTATACGGTTTAACTTATCTGATTTAATATATAATCATGACTTAAGTTGTTATTATGTTCCCCAAACGAAGTTGGGGAACATATTGTTTTTACTCTGTTTCTTATTATGTTCCCCAAACGAAGTTGGGGAACATATTGTTTTTACTCTGTTTCTTATTATGTTCCCCAAACGAAGTTGGGGAACATATTGTTTTTACTCTGTTTCTTATTATTATTATTCTTATTATTATTAAGGTCTTCCGTCTTCACGGAAGACCTTATAGTGATTCTACTGTTTCTTATTATTATTATTATTCTTATTTTTTAGACAAATTTTGTGCACGCGATATCTCGAGAACTGTTCATCGGTTTTTCATCAAACTTTCAGGGATGATGCGCTCTTATATGCCATTGTTACATTTGGAAGAATTTTGGAACAAGTCGCTTCCGGTGCCAAGTTATGGCCATTTTTCTGATTTTAAAATGAAATTTTGTCAGTTCGAGATCTGAAGAACTACTAAAGATATGAACTGGAGACTTGTTGGAGAACATAGAGCATGACTTCTAGATATGCGGAATGTCCTTTTCGTGTGTCGTCAGTACTTCCGGTCGCTACCGGAAGCGAATTAAAAAAATCAAAATTTTCAACTTTTTTGTTTCTCATTATTTTTCTTTGATTTTTATAGGGTTAATAAAGACTCTTTACAGAATGCGAAATCTGTAATTTGTTTTAGAATTGAGAGAGCCAATTTTGAGATATTTGCATTTAAAAATTTGAAGCGGCGTTCCCAATGGCGTAATGGTTAGCGCGTTGGATTTTCACGCTGGCGACCCGGGTTCGATCCCCCGTGTGACCGATATTTTTGTATGACTTTCTCGGCTAGATTTTTCGTTTTTTATTTCAGAATCGGACGGAAGACCTCTCGTTGCTCGCAACGAGATCGTTTCTAGTTATTATTATTTTTCTTCCTGGGAAAATCTTTTCCGCGAGTGATCTTGTAAACTACACATCCGACTTAGGTGAAACCTTTTTAGGGTAAGTAGGCATGTTATGTAGATTTGCGGAATCAAGGTCATTTTGCGCGCACGTGCTTGCAAGAGCGCGCACGTGCAAATCTTAAAATGACCAATATATAATGGATATAACCGTAACTTTTCTATTTTGTGACGAAATGTTTTGAAACTTATAATGTAAGGATATATTAGTAGTGTGCACAAGATGACATGGTCAAAATAGCAAGATCGCACGCGCATGCACGTGCACTTTGTTTTGATTGGCTGAAACTAAAGTCTCAATATCTTTTTTGTTTTTTGATAAAATCATTTGAAATTTTGAACATAGTCATACATTAGGGAGATCTACAGCCTGTAATATAAGATTTATCATGAAAGCATGTGCATGCACATGTGCTTGCAAGAGCTCGCACGTGCAACACGAGAAATGTCCAATCTAATTGATACAGACGTAACTATTTAAATTATTGATGAAATGCTTTGATATTCATATTATAAGTATATATAAGAAGGATAGACAAAATGACATGGTCAAAAAAGTAAGATCTCACGCGCATGCACGTGCGCTTCGCTCTGATTGGCTGAAACTAAAGTCTCAATATCTTTCTTGTTTCTTGTCATAATCCTTTGAAATTTTGAACATAGACCTACATTATGAAGATCTACAGCGTGATATATAAGAATTTTCATGAAAGCATGCGCATGACCGCAACCTGAAATCTGATTGGCTGAAACTTTAAATGATTATATCTCCTTTGTTTTTTGACAAGATGCTTTGAAATTTAAAACATAGTCATGCATTAGGATATACTACAATATGATGCAGAAAAAAAAAATCATGAAATCACGCACATGCAAGTGTGCTGCAATCTGATTGGCTTAAACTTGAAATGGCTATAACTCCCTTGTTTTTCAACCAAACAGGATGGGATTTAAAATATAGATAGATATAAGGGACTCCTACAAGAAGGTATGGTCATCATGCACGTGCACGCACGTGCGTGCATTTGGAACGAGTGAAATGAAAAATACGTTTGAAAGAGTGATTTTTCATACTTTTGGACTGAATGCTTTAATATATTGTATATTAAGATATGTAGATAGTGTAGACAAGATGATATGATCATAACGCACATGCATTCACATGCGCACGGGTGCAATGCTAAAATTTGAATATCATTGGTATCCTGCTGAAAAACGTTGTTAAAATCAAAAATGCACAGATTTGTCTTATTTAATGAAGCTTACAGGGAATATGGCACCAAAAAGGAGTTGGGGGGCGTTTGGGGAACATCTGTAACGGTTCCCGTTACAATTAGCACTAGTTATTATTATTCTTATTCTTATTATTATTTTTCTTCCTGGGAAAATTTTGTCCGCGAGTGATCTTGTAAACTACACATCAGACTTAGGTGAAACCTTTTTAAGGTAAGTAGGCATGTTATGTAGATTTGCGGAATCAAGGTCATTTTGCGCGCACGTGCTTGCAAGAGCGCGCACGTGCAAAACTTAAAATGACCAATATATAATGGATATAACCGTAACTTCTCTATTTTGTGACGAAATGTTTTGAAACTTATAATGTAAGGATATATTAGTAATATGCACAAGATGACATGGTCAAAATAGCAAGATCGCACGCGCGTGCACGTGTGCTTCGCTCTGATTGGCTGAAACTAAAGTCTCAATATCTTTTTTGTTTATTGATAAAATCATTTGAAATTTTGAACATAGTCATACATTAGGGAGATCTACAGCCTGTAATATAAGATTTTTCATGAAAGCATGTGCATGCACATGTGCTTGCAAGAGCTTACGTGCAACACGAGAAATGTCCAATATAATTGATACAGACGTAACTATTAAAATTATTGATTAAATGCTTTGAAACTCATAATATAAGTATATATAAGTAGTATGCACAAGATGACATGGTCAAAATAGCAAGATCGCACGCGCATGCACGTGTGCTTCGCTCTGATTGGCTGAAACTAAAGTCTCTATATCTTTCTTGTTTCTTGGCATAATCCTTTGAAATTTTGAACATAGACCTACATTATGAAAATCTACAGCATGATATATAAGAATTTTCATGAAAGCATGCGCATGACCGCAACCTGAAATCTGATTGGCTGAAACTTTAAATGGCTAAATCTACTTTGTTTTTTGACGAAATGCTTTGAAATTTAAAACATTGTCATGCATTAGGACATCCTACAATATGATATAGAAAAAAATCATGAAATCACGCGCATGCACGTGTGCTGCAATCTGATTGGCTTAAACTTGAAATGGCTATAACTCCCTTGTTTTTCAACCAAACAGGATGGGATTTAGAATATAGATAGATGTAAGGGACTCCTACAAGAAGGTATGGTCATCATGCACGTGCACGCACGTGCGTGCATTTGGTACGAGTGAAATGAAAAATACACTTGAAAGAGTGATTTTTCATACTTTTGGACTGAATGCTTTAATATATTGAATATTAAAATATGTAGATAGTGTAGACAAGATGATATGATCATAACGGACATGCATTCACATGCGCACGGGTGCAATGCTAAAATTTGAATATAATTGGTATCCTTCTGAGAAAACGTTGTTAAAGTCAAAATGCACAGAGTTTGTCTTATTTAATGAAGCTTACAGGGAATATGGCACCAAAAAGGAGTTGGGGAGCGTTTGGGGAACATCTGTAACGGTCCCCGTTACAATTAGCACTAGTTATTATTATTATTATTTTTCTTCTTCTTCTTCCTGGAACTTTTTTGTCCGGGAATGATCTTGTAAACTGTTCGTCCGATGTAGGTAAAACCTTTTTAGGGTTAGTAGACATGTTATGTAGATTTGCGGAATCAAGGTCATTTTGCGCGCACGTGCTTGCAAGAGCGTGCACGTGCAACACGCGAAATGACCAATATAATAGATAAAGCCACAACTTTTCTGTTTTTAGATGAAATGCTTTGAAATTTATAATGTGAGGATATATTAGTAGTATAGACATGATGACATGGTGAAAATAGCTAGATCTCACGCGCATGCACGTGCACTTCGCTCTGATTGGCTGCAACTAAAGTCTCAATATCTTTCTTGTTTTGTGACGAAATCCTTTGAAATTTTGAACATAGCCATGCATTAGGATATCCTACAACATGAAATAAAGCAATTATCATGAAAGCACATGCATGCACGTGCGCTGCAATCTGATTGGCTGAAACTTTAAACAGCTATAACTCCCTTGGTTTTCAACCAAACAGGATGGGATTTGGAATATGGATAGATATAATGGACTTCTACAAGTAGGTATGGTCACCATGCACATGCATACACGTGCGTGTACATGTGCTGCAATCTGATTGGCTGAAACTTTAAACAGCTATAACTCCCTTAGTTTTCACCCAAACGGGGTGGAATTTAGAACATAGATAGATGTAATGGACTTCTACAAGAAGGTATGGTCACCATGCTCATGTATGCACGTGCGTGCACGTGAAATGAGTAAAATCAAACATACACTTGAATGAACGTATTTTTAAAATAATTTTGGATTAAATACTTTAAATTCAGTGTATTAAAATATAGATTGTGTAGACAAGATGATATGGTCATGGCGCAAATGCATTCACATGTGCACGTGTGCAATGCTAAAGTTTAAATGATTTTTGTACACTTCTTTGTAAATGTTGTTAAAATCTCAGATGCATAGTTTGTCTTATTTAATGAAGCTTACAGGGAATATGGCGCCAAAAGGGAGTTGGGGAGCGTTTGGGGAACATCTGTAACGGTCCCCGTTACAATTAGCACTAGTTTTCAAAGTATTCTTTAAGAATATATTTTTTATCTGTCCCTAATTCGTATAAATGATGTTTTAGAGAGCAGTAGATCTTTAGGAGACATATGGCGGGGTTACAGATCTACCACGACCTTACACGGGATAGCGCATATTACGGGAGAGAGATCACAACTGTCCTGGTATGTATAAGGATCCGAAAAAGTACATAATAGTATACCAAAAGAGAGAGAGAAAAAATTAAGAGTGAGCGACAACGAAGAACTATTTTATTATTTAAAATACATGAATACATTACGAAAGTATTTGATGAACATAGTTACTCCTGTTACTCTATTTAGCATTTAAAAATGTTATTCATCTAAATAATTTTGTTTAAATTACTTAATATATAAATCCTATTATTATGATAAAATTTTGATGTGATTTCAAATGCTACTATTTTCGAAGGTTTTATCCTTTTATGTCTTTATAAAGGGAAGTACATAATGTAGAAATACGCATTATCCCATTTCAGGTTTGTATTTGTTTAACAAACAACTTCAAAAATTTTCTTTAATAAAATTATGTTACAAAAAAACGTAATAATCACACTAAGATATATCACACTAAGATATATCAGTTTATTTCCCTTAAACCAGTACATATAGAGCTTCAGTCTTTCAGATTTGTTTTGTTTTACAGTGTGTTCTGGGCAGTGTTAACATCAGTTGTACTCATTGCTTTCCTCGTGGTTGCGTCTTTGTTGTTTGCAAACTATGGTGACTTGAATACCTTGACTACAATAAGTGTTAAACTCAAGGAAGAACTGGACTTCCCCGCTGTTACAATTTGTCCATTATCTAAATACAACTTCTCAAAGATTCAGAACAATACATCACTACTAAGGTATTTATCATTGGTGAGCATAACAAGTACCCCATCCTCTGGAATCGAACTTAATTTCAGTGACCCGGAAAATGCCTTTTTACATGAGGATGAAATAGACAGTTGGTTGGCTAGTGTCGGATTTGAAGTGAACAAGACATTTTTGTCTTGTAGTTACAGAGGACAAATGATGAAGTGCTTCGATCTGATTAGAGTAAAACAGACTGACATGGGATCTTGTTTTTTATTTGACAACAGCTTTATGTCCCCCACTTCTAATCCCGGGAAATCCCATGGCTTATCCCTCTTGCTGCACATTGACCAAGACAATTTCCTGCACACAGAAAGCATGGCTGTTGGAATGAGTGTATGTATCTATAGCCATCCTGATTTAAATATTTTAATAATTTTTATAGCGTACAGTACAAAGTATTTAATTTAGGTAGCTATACATCCGAAAGATGAAGAACCAAACATGAACGTTGGCAGTTTCCTTGTCAGTCCAGAAACAGTTACAGAAGTAGTCCTCGAATATAGACAAGTAATTTTGTTTTAAAATACGTATTTATCTTTGACAGATTCTTACATCAGCTATATACATGTATTCTTTACATAATATTTTCTGATTTATTCTCAACGCAGTGCATTTCTCACCTGGAAAATTCTAATAAGTTTAAGACCCATTGCTAATTTTTCTTTCTTCGAAAAATTACCCATTCTGTTGGCAAATCTTGTGATATTCTATAAAATAAGAGTTGAAGATATCGAGTTTAAGAATATTATTTGATACACGTTTATAAAACACCTGCCTGACAATATTACAGGACGTGTATTTAGCTGCCCCCTATGTGGCTTTTACTGACGGTTACTGTGATGACGTCACCAGTCCGAACTTTAAGTCCCCTTTAAAGTACCACGATATATACAGCCATCACGCCTGTGTCCGAGAGTGCAAGAGCAGATTTATAATTAGTCAGTGTGAATGTAGGGGCCACACGTATCCAGGTTCGTCTTTTTAGTCAAATTTTTAAAAAGTTATTTGAATTTTATTTACTAAATACATTTTATTTTCCTGGCGTTACTATATATTTTTCTAGGACTGGAGAAACTGTGTTCTTTTCACAAGATACATACTTGTGTTCATGCACAAGAAGGTGAGCTGCTTTATGTCGTTGATCGCAGTTAAATGATTGTAAAGGTTGTTGGAGAAAAACTTAAAAGTGTGTTTAAAACGTTTTCCTGTTTTAAAGTAGTTTTTTGAAACATGATCTTGAAGTAATATATATACAAATTAGGGCACTTGAAAGAGATCGATCCTGCTTTTTAGTACATGTATTATGCATTCATATTAAAAGAAACTTGTTTTCAGATGTATTTGAGCAATTAAACTCACAAAGAGATATATGCTCATGTCCAAGACCGTGTATTAGGACATATTTTGAAAAAGAAATATCGTTGGCAAGGCTTGGCAAAAGTTCTTCAGTATTCAGAAGCAATGGACAAAATTTTAGCAGGTTTGTATGTCAGATTATTTCAAATTCCAAACTGATGGACGAAGTGTCAACAATTTGGTACCTGTATATGTTTTTGTTTAGATTATGTCATTTACACATTTAAATGTATTTTAAGCATTGAATATGTATATTTTTGGCGACTAGGAAAATAGGATTTTGAAAGATGGGTGGATGCTTAATGGATATAAACTTGGAACAACCTAAAATTTGTCCTAAATACAGGAAACTCGTAAAAGTTTTATTCAAACATTCATTAATTTTTATATTGATTTAATATCTACAGTAGTAGATTTAGATACACATTTGTATAAGAACAATTAAATTCACTGAACAGTGGATGAACTTACAACAAGTAGCTTTTGCATTCATCAATTGTTTATGACATGTACATCGAATCTTATTGTAGGGAAAATTTAGCGCAGGTGTCTATATATTACCGTTCATTGATCAGAGAGAGGAGAAAACAGGTACCGAAGATGAATTTACTCAGTCTTTTAGGTATAGTTACATGTATTTGAGCATTTGATTAATGTACAATGCATGTAGTATCAACTTAAGGACAAATATGCTGCAAGTGCAATAAATTACTTTTGTATCATTTGTAGGCAATCTTGGTGGCTACATGGGTATATTCCTTGGAGCTAGTATTCTAAGTTTAGTGGAGTTAGCTCAGGCCATTCTACAGACAGTTAAACACACAATCAAAACTATAAGACTGAGAAAAAACAAAGAAGAGAACTCTAAAGATGACGTTTATGTTATCATGGAACAAATATATCCTTAAAATTTGCTGAATACTGAATTGTCTGTTTCACAAGAAGAATTATATGAAATGTTTTAGTTGTCTTTGATGAAATGAGCACGTTCAGTTGTCTTTTTTAAAAAGTCAAATGAATTTGTAGGGTCGTCTTAAAGATGATATTACCAGTAAGAACAATTATATATATATTGTCCTGGAGTCGGAAAGTTTACGACAACAATGTCGAAAATGACGACAACGACAGAAAGCGGACGAATTTCAATCATAAAAGCTCACTTGAACTAAATTTCTTGGAATAAGACATATTTTGTTTCCAAAGCAATATTGGGCACCAGTTTCACTTGACAGTTTCTGCTGTAACAATACTGGTTCTTTGGTTGGATTTGTTAAGGAAACACTTGACCATTCTCAAGATGCGCCTCAGAAACACGTAGGCTGTGAGAACAACCACTTCGAACACCTCTGTTATGGTCAGTAAGCTTGCTCCTAGAAAGATTCCCAGATATCCTCCAATATTCCCTGAAAAAGAAACGTGCTTTTTGTTTAATTTAAAGTCATCAGTTTGTAAATTCCATGGTCGATACAATGACCTCGTCAGCAAAATACAATTTATCATTGAGTCAAATGCTGACAATGGTAATTTCCATTCTTATGTTGATACGATATATCATGGTGAGCTTGAGATTAAAGACACCACAGAGTCTTTCAAAACTGTGTCATATTTGGCTATTTTACTTGAAAAAGACGTTAATGGTAATCTAACAACCAAGCTGTATAATAAACGTGATGACTTAAAATTTTTCTCAACTTCCATGGCTTATGTAGCAATATTACGTATGCAGCAATATACCTTCATCATCTGCATACGGAGTATATATATCTCAGTTGATTCGATACGCAAGAACATGCTCTATGTATGAACAATTTCTAAAACGAGGTAAATTATTGACAAACAAGTTGATGACACAATAATATCAGCAGTCTCGTTTAAATTCACCATTTCGTAAGTTCAATGGTCGATACAATAACCTTGTCAGCAAATACAATTTATTATTGAGTCAAATGCTGACTAGCGTTTTTCATACTAATTGTTAGGCCATTATAAACACACTGAATTGTCGACGGATTTTCTCGTTATAACCCGAACGTGACAAGGAGCACACGAAGGGTGTGACCAATTGACAGGGTATGCTCACTCCTCCATGGAACCTGATCCCACCTATGATGTTTTCCAGGTCCGTATTTTCTCTGCTCGAATTTTGCATTCGAGCTTGAATACTGTTCGTAATTCCATATATATAAGTATTCCATCTACTAATTAGCGATTTTCCATGGGATTAAATACTGTAATTGTGTTTTATATGCATATATAATTTTTTACTGAAATGGACACTTAGTACATACATCTTTAAAAAAGTTATATTTTTTTTGTTTTAGTGTAATTTTTTGCATAAAATATTACATACCCAGTACGCTTGTTATGTCTACCTTTGGTACTTGCTCAATTGTGTGCGTTACAAACGTATCGTAATAAAACTTCAGCTCCAAATAATTAGTACTGTAATAAAGATTGTTTTCTATAAAGTATTGTTCATTCAAAATGTATACAATGAATTTCCTTAAGTACAATGACAAAATCTCAATCTGACCTGATATTTGTAATGTTATACAGACTATGTAGTATTTCTCGGAATTTCTCGGAGGGAAATTGGGCCGACGAGATTTCTTTTTCATAGTACACCTCTTCACACGGTAAGGGACAATTACATTCAGCCTGATGCCCGGGATTGCTGTCAAAAAAATCTAAAAGGAAAAAATTATAAATAAATCATTCGGAAATTAAAGCAATGATAATATATTTTACACATTTTCTTATCATTATCTTCGTTTAAGAATTCAATTTATAAGAATGGTATGCATTTTTCTGAAAATTCAGTTAGCAAACCTCTTGTTTTCAAAGCACACTCAAATTCCTGTGCAATAGTACAGATGATTTCCTCACCTATTGAAAAAAAATTGGTAGAATTATAATAGAAAATATTTAAATACTTTGAAAAAAAATAATTTTTTTTCATTCAACTATTAACGCGAAAAAAATGTAAAGATTGATCAATATTCCTTCAAATAATCGGTATGATAAATAACATAACTTTTTTATGATAAAGTCACTGTAGCACGATATTGACGTTTTAAATATTTAAGGTTTTGATAAAATAAAAGGGAAAATTAAAGGGTCTTGAAAAAAAGAAAAAATTCAAATTCGTTTCTTCTTCCTTTATTTAAATTCTATCTTTGATAAGTAGATGTAAAGGTGTATAGGGGGCACTAACTGAGACAGTTTCAAGCAATTTAACATTCATCATAATAAAAAGGGGACAATTTGATTGTTCAAAACTATGAAAATTCTTCGTCATACGTTTTACTGTACTTAAAAATTTCTTGTTTTCATCTGTTTTAATTAACTTTTATTATTGAAAGTTTTCAACGTCATACCAGTGGTAAATACATAATTATATGAATGCTTTGAACCAGTTTCTAAACGTTTTTTTTGGAAAAATCATTGAAAATGCAAACACTTACACCTATGTATTGAAAGATAAAGATTTGAAAAATTATTTTTCTCCTCTTTTCGACGGAGTAAATCAAATTTTTGAGGTTAGGGTTATATTTTTTGAAAGATAAATAACAAATAAAATCTTTCCATGACTAAAATATGATTTTTTTTTCAAAGTGCGTTAAGTGTCTCCATGGTAAAATATATTGATGTAGACCTCGCAAAAAAAATTTTTGCGTTGAGTAAACATTTGTTTCAAAGTGCGTTGATTTTGTCCCATACTTTGAAAATTTTTTTCAAAGTGCGTAATTTTTTCAAAATCTTGCCACATTGAAAATTTATTTATACTGTTTCATTAACTCGCGCGTTAGTCAATGGTATGGTGCACAAACGTTTGCAGATAGGTTGAGACTATATCTTTCAAAAAATAATGATTCATTGCTTAAGTAAAACCACATCATAATAAAGAAGGTCCATCGCATAAGACAGCTATGGCGATCCATAGACTGGTTTTATTTCAATTTATAACTGAATCTTACCCTTTTCTGTTATCAGGCGACATTCGCATCTTTTAATGATAAAGTTGGAGCGGCATTCTCTGAGGCACGCGTAATAGCTGTATCTTGAATAATGTTTCAAGGGATTTCGAAAATCTGGGTCGCTAGTTTTTGTACAGTAATTTGTTCCGAATGCTTTGTATGGCCTCGGCAAATATGTATGCTAAAATTTAATAAATGTTTTAATTACAACTTGAAGGCTTAATGAAAATAATAATTTCTTTAAAAGAACTAAAAATTTTTCTTGAATTCATATGAATGCGGTACTAGATTAATATTCTCTTTATGAAATGATGGGTAATTATTTAAAGCGTATAGATTTTAATATTACCTACATCTCCTAATATCATTTTTAAAATGCTCGCGTAAATTTAATTAACTTCAGTTACACATTTACTTCAATTGTACTTTATGACTTTTGTCTACATTTTCCTTTCTTACCTTGCTTTTCCTTATCGGTACATACGTGACTGTACCAGGACTAACAAAAAAGCTTTTATCTCCTATATTTGGCTCAACATCTCGGTGGTGAATTGCAACCTGTAACCATTTTTCGGGAATTAAGCATCTCTTTATACATATTATATAAACATGCAAGAGAAAACAAGAGCATTGGAAATCGGGGCTTCCGTTTACAAGCATATTAATTTTAGTAGTTGTACAGTTTGCGAGTAGCAAGCAATAGTTAAGGATGTTTCATTTAATCTTACATGTATTTATGCTTCACAAATGTCGACTTTACTTAAAGTTACATAATGTGTCAAAATCATATGTTTCCTTTAAGATATATGTAGCATATAGGGAAAGACTTTTCAAAATTATGAGTATATAGCGAAGATATGACAATTTAACTGCACTGCATAGCAAGAAAAGACTGCACAATATAAGTGCCGGTGTAACGACGAAAAGTGACCCCCGTTTTCTACGTAGAAATTTGACCCCCTGGTCAATACTGTAAACCAACTTTTATTCGCGACGACTTTATTTCGCGATTTACCAGGCATAAACCAGTTCGCGACGATTAATTTTCGCGACCAAGACTTTTTGTATCTGTTTTTAATAGACAAATATACTATAAGGACTAGTTCGCGGCGAGAAATATTCGCGATGGCGAGGCTCTCGCGAACTTCGCGAAAATTTCTCGCACACGAATAAAAGTTGGTTTACAGTATTCTACGTAGAAAAATGACCCACTTTTCTGTAGAAATCATGGCCTTAGGGTCATTTTTCTCCGTGTGCATTGTAGAAAAATGACCCCGTAGAATAGTGATCCCTTGTCATTTTTTGATGCAGAAACATTCGTTTTGGTAGGGATATTCTTGTTAGGCGAATGTATACGAGTAATATTAAGCAGTCTTATGCTTTGAAGTGTTAATTTCTGAAAGCTTTTAAGCTTAAATAACGAAATCAAAGCTATACAATACCTTACATTTATAATACAAACCGTTAAATCCCCATTAATTAAAACAATATCTATTAAAATGTTCTAAGGTTTGTTACATGTATGTGCTGAAATTCTTGGAATCTTGATTCGAAATAATTAAGATATAAAAGGTATAACAATTGAGGGTGAAGAGTACAAACTCTCCCAATATGCTGATGATACTTCTATTATCTCTTATCTTAAACTAAAATGATATGGATTGGAAGTAAAAACTTTTCAAGGGAAGTATTTCATCAGTCAAGGTGGAAGCTTCTAGGAATAAAATTTTCATTAAACTTGGATGAAATGCTCGATCTTAATTATTCCATATAGCTAAATGAAATCAAAAGTTTGTTAGGTAAGTGGAGTTTGAGGAAACGTATCCCAATCAGAAGGTCAAAACAATAATTAAAACTTTAATATTACCCAAACAAAACCATCTATGTCTTACTTTACCAAACCCTAAGTCAAATTTTTTGAAGATGTTTGAGACCGAAAAGTATTATTTTCTATGGGGTAGCAAAATTCATAAGGTAAAGAAAAATGTTATAATTCAGGACTATAAATATGGAGGTCTAAAAATGAGTGATTATACAGAATTCATTTCTGCTCTAAAATCAAGTTGGATCAAAAGACTTATTCACTCACATGCAAACTGGATAAAACTATTTGAAGCTGAACTAAAAGAAGATACAAACAATCTTTGGATAAGGGGTTCTGATGGAATAATCCAAAGTTTAAAATTTATAATAAATCTTTCTTTTGGAAAAACTATTTCAACGAAGGCATTGTTTTTTCTTACTGACCTCTTTAACAATGAGGGTAGTTTTGTAAGTCTCGACTCATTAATAAACTTGAAAGTGAAAACAAATTTGTTGATTATAATGGTCTTAGAATAGCAGTGTTAGATAGACTGAAAAATATAAAAAGTGATGAAATTAAAAATACTAAGTTGATTTGACCACATATTCCAAATTCCATTTTTAGCTCTACTGGTCAGAGACCAGAAGAGCTTATGCGATAATAATGCGTCCGTCGCCCGTCCGTCCGTCTATCTGTCTGTCTGTAAACAATTTTTCAAAATGCTATTCCACCTAAATTTTTGGTCTGATTTCAATATAACTTGGCACACAAGTAGACTATACTAAGATACAGAATTCTGTGCATCGGTTTTCGATTTTGATGAACGGTGTTGCCGTGGTTACTAAAAATAGAACTTTCTGTGAAATTCTTTCAAAATGCTATTTCTCCTGTAGATGATTTCAAAGAACGGTGTTGCCATGGTTACTAAAAATAAAAATTTCTGTGAAATACTTTCAAAATACTTCTCCTCCTACAGTTTTGGTCTGATTTCAATATAACTTGGCACACAAGTAGTCTAAACTAAGATACATAATTCTGTATATTGGTTTTTAATTTCGGAAAACAGTGCTGCCATGGTTACTAAAAATAGATTTTTTTTTTGAAATTTTTGCCAGTAAATATAAGAATGTTCCAAAAACAGACGCTGAAGTTGTATTAAAGAGGATCACAGATAGAATTTTTATTGAAAAATTTTTGTTGTTGAAGAATTGTACATATGAGTAATACGAAAGGCATGCATTGGCAAAAAAATGCGATATCTTGTTAGCAATTGAGTTACATATACATGTATATATACATCCTATAAATTATTTGAGTGATTTTATATCTTTTTTGTATTATTTGAAATAGAAGAATTGTTTTCTATTGCTGACCCCCCTTTTTTGGATTTTTTTCCTCCTTCAAAACAACTTTCACATTCTATAAGTATAATTATGTATTGTGTGTAAATCAAATGTAACTGTGTACCAAAAGATGAAAATTGTCATACATGTAAAAATGTCATAATAAAAAAAAAAAAATTCTAAGGCTTTAAGAGCGCATTAATAGAATCGTTTTTTTTTTTTACATTTTATACAGCAAGTTGACTCAGTTGTCAATTAAATTTTTAAAAAGGTCATTTTCTAGCTGGTTTCAGAAAAAAGTTTTGAAAGTTTCCATAATTAAATCATTATAAAACTCTTTGATTTTTCCATGGGAAATAAATTTGCAAAAATCAAAAAATAATTTTGTTTTTCAAAAGTTTAATGGTTTTGATCCCTACTTTTAAAACTAGCGCGAAAAAGAGCGCTGGCTTAGAAAATTAGATCTTATAAGAATACAAAATACATGATAATGTATTTGGTTTTCTATGAATGAGGTTTCAAACTTCTCTTAAAAAATAGGGATGATTTAATTTGTAAATATTAAATAAATAAGTTTTACATATACTTACATGTGATGATTTTATGAGGGTATTTTTACCAATAGAAAAAAAAACAAATGTTGGATTAAGAAAAAGTTGTTACTTTACATATTATACTTATGCCTCTGTAAACAAAGTTTCGGGGGTATGTAGTTTTTTACCTGTCCTTCCGTCTGTCTAGCTGTCTATTTGACCGCAAAAACTTGAACCTTGCCCATAACTTTAGACTGGGTGGGACTATATATGGCTTTCATGTTTCACATGTGTATTTCTGTGACAAGACCTTTTTTTGTACAACCAATTTTGACCTTTTGACCTTGACCACGGAGTTTAACCCACTTTCTTGCAAAAATTCCAAACTTTTACTTTGGCCTTAACGTTTAACGTTTGGACGGTATGTGCTAGGACTAAATAGATATCGAAGTAATGGCATGATATATAGAGTAAGTTCATTTGTATTTGCAAAGTTAGTGTCTAAAAAATCTCAGAAGAAAGGCGATGTTACAGCAACCATTTGTCAGGTTTGTGGGCTAAAACGTGTTGAAAAGGGAAGTTTTTTATGAATTCATTGATATCTTTAAAGATTGAACTATTATTCACTCAGATGTTCATTTTTGCCAGTTTTGAAAGATTTTATTTATATCATTATAAGACCGTTCTCGATGTTTATGGTATTTCCCGTATATACAGGAAAAAGTATAGTACCTTACATGTATATGAGGTATTTAAAATGCAGGTATTTTAAAGCAGAATGCATACAGATGTATATGTAAGTTTAAGGTAAGGGCTATGGTAATTGAATTTATATAGTTAAATTACTTTGCTTTTCTTGCTTCTATGCTATGTTTTTTGGATTTGTAAAAAATTTCAAAGTTTATAGTTATCAGAAACATATCACACCATTTTTGGAACAAAATCTTGATTAAAAAAACACCGACCCAAAAATATAATCATAAATTTATGCTCCTCAATGAATTAATATTCATTGGAATTTTGAAAGCCAAAAATAAATCCATACCAGATACATTGACTGTGATACTACTATTAAGATATGCTATCAAATATATGTTAGAAGGATTAAAGTACATAAAAAATCCCCCCTACATACATTTGAGAGTATGGAAAAATATCAGGAGACACAGATATAAGGTTCTATTGTATAAAAAAAAGTAGGGGGTCAAATTTCTACGGGAGTCATTTTTCAACGAGTGTGGAGTCATAGAATTACTGGTCTGGAATGTTTTTCTACAGTCGAAAAATGACCCTACTTGTCGTAGAATATTGACCCGGGGTCATTTTTCTATGTAGAAAAATGACCCCCTGGTCAATATTCTACGGGGGTCACTTTTCGTCGTTACACCGGAAAACAAAGGTTATATCTACTGTTTTGATGTTTTTGTGTATGTCAAGGTCACGCCACTTTTATTTTTAGCTCAAACTTAATTCAACTAGAGCATGCAAAGATGAGAAATATGTTCTAACTAGTTTTTAAAAAAGATTGCATCAAATTTTTTGGTCTACTTACATTCAATCATGGGTACTTATTTCAGACCATGGTAACTATGGTAACTTATTCAATTGAAACATGGAGATAACGAACATTATTCAAGATCAAAAGTCCATAAAACAGTACAAAATAGAAGCAGAGCAAAACGGACCTCCAAAACATCAGTGGTGGGATCAGGTGCCATGGAGGAGTGAGCATCCCCTGCCCACCGGTTACACTCGCCGTGTGCTCCTTGTCATGATCGGGAAATAACGGAAAAATCCGTTGTCAATTCAGTATATAAATAATGGACTAATAATCAGTATGAAAAACGTCAGTCATCATTTGACTCAATGATAAATTAAATTCGCTGACAAGGTCATTGCATCGACCATAGAACTTACAAAATGATGACTTTAAACAAGACTGCTGAAATTTTTGTTTCATCAACTTGTTTGTCAATAATTTACCTCGTTTTAGATATTGTCCATACGTAGAACATGCTCTTGCGTATCGAATCAACTGAGATACATAAACTCCGTATGCAGGTGATGAAGGTATATTGCTGCATAAGTAAGGGAAGTTGACGATAGAAAAGTTAAAGTCATCACGTTTATCATAAAGCTTGGTTGTTAGATTACCATTAACGTCTTTTACCAGTAAAATATCCAAATATGAAACAGTTGTGTCAGACTCTATGGTATCTTTTATCTCAAGCTCACCAGGATATATCGTATCGACATACGAATGGAAATTACAGTTGTTAATTGACAATATGTCGTCGAAATACGTCGTCGATATATAAATATGGAGTTGAAGGCAACAACAAGTGTATTTTTCTTTTCACGAATAAGATTTTGCACAAATTCTGCTTCATATGAATACAAAAATAGGTTTGCTAATAACGGGGCGCAATTGGTACCCATGGAAATTCTTAAAGATTGTTGGAAGACCTGGTCTCCAGAAACAACATATTGTTAATTAGAAACTCAAGCATCTTTTTGATGTAGACTTCAGAGTACTTTTGTGTACAATCGGAATGTTTTTTTAACAAAATAATTTTGCAAATGAGCAATGACAAGGTAGGTAAATTTACAAGTTTCACTTTTCTGTGCACGCATACAATAGGGAGGAAGTAGTAAAGAAATATTTTCGTTATGGGGCATACTGAAATTATTAATTTTTACTTCTATTTTCCTCCATAAAAAACAACCTTTAGGTTCTGAAACCTGTAATTTTCTGAAATCTTATACTTTTAGGTATTGATCAAAATTTACTTAGGTCATGCAAAAATTCTACGTTTGTCAATTTTCCCCTTAGTACGTCACGGTGTCTCTTTAAAATTAAACACAATTATTTTCAAGTTCAAAATATGGATTATCTAGATCTGCAAAATACAGTTTCACGATTCGTAAAGTACATAGTTTTGCATAAAAAGTTAACAAAGTAATATAATTTCTAAAAGAAAACAGTTTATTTGATAAAACATGTTATCGATTAGTTTATTTGATAAAACACGTTATCGATTAGTGAATATTATCTAAATTATTGTAGATTATGATAATATTTTAATTATGTTAAGGATCGAGTAATAATGAAGTTTAAAATAATGATGCATGCTAAACAGCACACTTAAAATTGGTTAATCGTTCGTAATAATAGTTTTACATATAAAAATTGCAAAACATATTTTATTGTAAATAAAAACATTTTTGGCAGCAAATTTTGTAATGAGATACTGTTGTTATAATTATTATACTCATCATTGATAACATAAATAATTAAGGTCTTTGAATTAGCCACCAGACATGTAGGTGGGGGGCATCATTTATTGTTGGCAACTGGTGAATAATTACACAAGTCAACAGATGGAATTTGCAACCTGGCATGGCAGGGACACCGTGTATGCAATAGCCATGGTGGTTAGTCAAATAAAAGGTATTTTATGGAAACAAATACAGTATGAAATGAAATTAAAAGTTTTTTAGTTATGGGAAAAATTTGGGTGACAAAAATATAGTTTACGCTTCAAAAATGATGATTGATAGTTTACAATAGAGGAATCACTTAATAGAGTATGCCAGAGCATCAACGAATTTGGAACGTTGGATAATTTGCATAACGGGCGAAGCCAACAAACTAGACAGTTATTCCTTATATTTCCATTTCATTGTGAAAAAAAATTGTAAATTGAGAGATTTTGAAAATGTTGTCTACTAGATTTTAATAACACGAGGCCTCCCATACCAATTTCAATAGATGACGGCAAATACAAAGACAGACACACAAGATTCACATGCAGGTCTCCTTTATTAGCTCTGGACCTATCGCTTGGCAAAATTTACATTCCGGTGGAAGAATAAAGAAATCAACTGAGTTTAAAATAGGCACCGCAGAGAAAACAACTTGAATAGATATTGAAACATTGAAGTATCAACGGCTAAACTACATATATGCTAGGCTTAATTTTCTGATTTTTTTTTCGGATCCATATCGCATATTTATTATTCTTTCAAGAAGGATACAAAATAGAAGACGGAGAAAAGCAAGAAGAAATGCTTCTTTAATGTTTACCTGTAATCCAGCGCCCCTGTTACTCCCCACGACATAATTAACCTGGTCCAAATTGACAAACATCGACAATCCTTTTTTACTTCCAGTTAACCTGCTTACTTTGGGAGGATTCGTTGAGGGGCCATTGTACGTAAAGCACATACCAATGTCTGTTTTTCTTTTTTCCCAAAGCTTATGACTTTCAATTTTCCCTCCAAACTCGAAACTGAATATCATAGTTTCAAGATCGTAACTAGTGTATTCCAACCAGGACTCGTTTCTTGGTTCATGTAAAACAGCGTACTTTGGATCGGAAATATTAATTTTGTTTCCAATAGCTATATGCCGGTAGATATCGTATACATCACTGAAGTTTTGTAATTTTGAAATGTTCAAAGGACTGTAATTGCAGATGGTTACGGTTGGGAATTCCATAGCGTCGGCCATTTCCACCCGAATGTTGATTAGTGTTTCGTAGGAAAAATACGACATGGCAAAAATTACGAGGACCGATGCAAGGCAAGCAAGCATAAACACCATCATGACAGTCCAAAATATTCTGGAAAAAATCAAAAATAACTTTCAAAAATATTTTCGGGGGGAGGGGGGTTACCCCACCAAATAGCCAAACATTCTACATGTAAAAAAACAAAAACAAAAACATCATATCAGTCAAACAATTTCTGGACAAAGAGCACAATCATCGTAGTACATGTACAATACTTTCTGAGGGAAAAACATCATAACAACTAGTCCCAAAATTCTGGAGAAGCAAAATCACCACAGTTCAAAAAATGCTGTTAAAAACACAATCTAAACAGTATGAAAAGTTAAATTTTTTTGAAAGCCACTATCAAACAGTCCAAAAATTTGGGAGGGGAGAGAATTTAAGATACATTCACTTCATAGAAAAATACAGATTGGTAGAAAATATTCTGGAGAAAAACACATCATAGCAGTCAAAAATAATAATGATTATAATAATAAAACAAAAGTCTAATAAATATTCCTTAAAAATACTTTTATCAGAACTGTTAAAAGATTCAGCTGAAAAAAGACTGATAATTACAAAATGTACAAATTCTGGGGAGAATACACCATCATACAAGTTCAAAACATTCTAGAATATGTTGGAAAAAAACTTCAATACAGTTGAAAACTACTGGGAAAATCCAAACATAGACAGTCCAAAATTCTTGGGGGAAACTCATGCAACATAACAGTCCAAAACCCCCTTAAATATAATATAACAATTCAAAAATTCGAGGGGGGCACCATCATAACAGTCCAAGAGATTCTAAAACAAGTCACCGTCAATGATATTATTATGGCAATCGAACATACACGCCATAAATGTCACAAATATTCTGAAACAAATAACAGTAATCTAAGCACGACAACACAAGCAGTCTCCAAAATTCCACAGACCGTAGGACAACAAATGTCCTAGGATGTCAAAATTCCTAGATAGACAAAAATCCCAAGAGAACAAAGTGGTAGTATAGTTCTAGAAAAATCCACTACATTTCCTAGCCCCCGATAGTAAGAGGTAGTAAGAGGTCAAAATCGATTAAAACAGAGTACTTGTATCTTATAACATTATTCAACATCAGTCAAAAGTGGAAAATTAAAATTTATTTCAAGTTTATACGTTTGATAAAAAAAATAACATAAAAAAAAACTACCCATGAAAAATGGTCTTCCGGCCAGAAATTCGACTGACGCCGTGCATGGACGTGCTGTCCAGGAGCTCCTTCCATACCTGACGTAATGACGTTTCACCAGAAGAACTTTTAGAAGGACGTTCCGAGGACTGGTCTACAAAATACGAATCCTCCAAAACACCACCGACTCCGCCTTTCATTTCCATTAAAGTCTTAGACTCTTAGACATAGAATTTAATACTTTCTAGCACAATCACCATCAACAAGTACCGTACGCAGCATTTAAACTAATTGACTTAACAATTTTATGATTAGTAGACTTAACATCAATTATGTAGGTCAATTTTAAGTCAATAAAACCCATTTCAATTTCATTTCTGTATCAGTTACATCATATGTAAATCAATGTTTATTGTACATCAAACAATGTTCATGGACATGAAAGGGTTCTGCATTCAAGGTCAGTATATGGCCATTACTTCCGAAACAGAGAGTTTGAATACATCCATTTGATCTCATTTGTCGATTTCATAGTTCTGTTTGACAATATTTGCTTGACCTATACACATATTGTACACAGAGATGGAGCAATCAATTGATGAAATATTTCACGCGGACTCTGGCTGATTCTACACAGGTCTGTGTAATCTTTGAAATGTTATAAAATAGTTTTCTGACGTAAGTTGTTCTTGCAAAATTCGCATTCAATTCAATGGCAAATAGAACTGTCACTTAATAGTTTGTCATATAAAATAATTTTTTTTAATTCCCTTGCAACTGCCCTCTTGAAAAAATATCTGTCTGCTTATGGGTACTGTATATTACGATAGAAGTAAATATGTATTGTTCAGATTTTCTTAAACAAGTGATGGCACATGTATGTATTATATGTATGTATCTATAATGACATGGAACTCACATAAGAGTTGAAAATAACAAAATCAAGATACATTTAAGAAATGAATTTAATTTTTGAAGATTCATGAGATTATGAACTACGACGCTTCACGCCGGCATATGTCATGAAGCGCGTTAGTTACATATTATGTATATGTAGTTCATGAGAAAATGAACTGCATTTTATTTTGTGAAGAATCATAGGGGAAAATTATTGGAAATGTAAATATTTTAAAATGTTTAGGAATTAATCACGTGATCATTCTATGTCTTGTCATGATTGATATTCAAGGTATGTTTATCAGTACATCCCAAATACTACATTTTACGTTGGTATACTTGTTCAGTCAAATGCAAGTCTTCCGAAAACTTCATTTTAATTAATTCCCACAAATTTCTTAACCCATAAAATAAAACAACTATACTTAACCCATAAAATAAAATCTTCACGGGTAAAAAATTTAGTTCAGAAACAAGTACCTGTGCATATAATTATATTTCAGCTTAAGGACAGATGATACAAACACATTTTTTCTTTGAAAAGATTTAATAGCATGTCACAAGTTTAGAAATGTGGATGGTTCTTACAATTTTTTCCCCTAAGAACTGGAATATGAAAAAGACTTGGAAAATATTAGTACTATTTCAATGAAAAAACAAATATAGACAAATCACATTCAGTAAAGGTTTACAGGTGAAAACAAATTTCAGAAAATGTTAATATGGTGCTAAAAGTGTAATATAAACTTAAGAAAAATATACCAAGCCAGGTGATTTTTATTAGGAAAAGCTAAATGGTAAAATTCAGCCTATGTGATGTTACTAATTTTTTGTAATTTTGATCTTCCTCTTAAAATTCACCTGGCTTGGTATATTTTTCTAAAGCTCATATTACACTTTTAGCGCCAGGATAACATATTCTGAACTTTGTTTTCATCTGTAAACCTTTACTGAGTGTGTTTTGTTCATATCTCTAATTATATTGAAATATTAGTAATATTTTCAAAGTCTATTTCATTTTCCAGTTCTTAGGAAAAAAAATTCTTAGAACCATCCACTTTTCTAAACTTGTGACATGATATTAAATCTTTTTCAAAGAAAAAATTTGTTTGTATCATCTGTCCTTAAATGTACATCATGTTTTCGAAGGCGGGCTCTATTGCTATGGATTCTGAATTCATGTCTAAAATTAGTATTACAGTAAAGAAGTATATTGTTTATATAACATGTCAATCATCTGATTGGTCACCCCAAAAATACTTTGTTACAAATCTCTCTGATTCTATATGCAGGTACTCTAAGTTGATACTAGATTTACCGGTATGGTGAATTTCCTCAATAACAACACGTTTTTCTAGAAGACCACGTCTTTCAACAAACTGCTGAAATCCCGATGGGCACAAATTGTGCTCATTTATTTGCTGACGTTTTTATACTCCTATTAAGAATAATTTATCTAAAATTTTCACATGAGATGAGGAAAACACGTCTGTGGCCTTCAACTCAACAATCAGATATACATGTATAGACGACGTTTTATGAATTAACTTTAGAGCTAATTCCATATATACATGGACTCGATTTGAAATAAAAGACACCATAGAATCTGTCACATCTGCTTCATATTTGGACGTTTAACTGACTCTAGACGACAGAGGCCAACTAACAACTGAATTGTACACGTGTTTGACAAACAAGATGACTTCAGCTTTTCCATCAACATTAATTATTATGCAGTTAAGGTCGGATGAATGCAGTATGAAACATGTCTATATGCAGGTACTCTAAGTTGATACTAGATTTACCGGTATGGTGAATTTCCTCAATAACAACACAGTCAGCATTCTTCTTAATGAATGACTGTAATTGCTGACAAGGTCTGATATCAACAATAGATTTGTAAAATGATAAGTTTAAGGAGCTTTTTAAGGAGCTGTTGATATTCATTTCTTCATGAACTTATTTGTCTATAGCTTTTGTACATAAAACTTGAAATACAAAAATAATATTTCTCAACATTTGAACCTGACCACTGCTCATTATGCTACAAAAACTCAGGATCATCTTTTAGCCATGATGAAGCCATCCTATGGAATGCCATAGCTGCCACATGTGTTATTTCATGAAAATATCATAAGTATAAATCAAAGGCATAGATTCAATGAATAATAAAATCTACAAAACAAAAATGCATGAACATTAAATAAATTTTATTAAATAATGAACTTAAGCAAATATATGTTACAAAGCACAAATTTTTTTCTCCATGATAAAACAATCTTGGATTTCAACATACAAAATCTTTCAAAATATTTATAGGGGAAAAATATTACAGTTTTACACTGATTTAATAAAAACTAGTGCAAACTAAACATAAACGTTTCCTGTTGACTTTTTGCAGATTATTTGATTATGCAAATTCTGTTGAATGCTTGTGTAAGCTCGTGGCTAATACCAGTACTCTCAAGTAAAAGGTTTATACAAAGTCTTTTTAACTAGTAGCATCGAATGATTTAAATAGCACTGAATCCGGGGAATTACATTCTCCAGACCATTCGGATTGCCTCACAGACCCCGACATCATTGTAATTAAAGTAAAAAAGTCCAGCTAGTCCAGCTATGGTGATCAGATACCAGGGATAGTGGATCCAAGGAACAAATTTCTCCAAATAATCTGTGAGAACACCATCCACACCCCTACAAATGATAAACACTCTTAAAATAATGTATTCAAATAATATTTCTCCAAAGATATAGGCCTATATACAGTAACAATTGGAGACAGCAAAGTCCTAAGGACCTGCGAATTTATTTCGCTTAATAAATTTAATGTGGAAAATCTGTATAACAAACTGGCAAAAATATGAATAGAAATCCGTGATATGCATGATTTGTTTCAAGCATAAATACATAAAATGTTCAGGAAAATAGAAAACTTAACTTCATGTACCAAATTTTTTCTAATGAATTGAATTTAAAATTCAAAAAACCATAAAAAATAATGTCAGTTCCAATTCTTAACTTAAAAAGTAATTTTCTTAAAAAAATCAGTTTTCTTATATCTTTACATCATTGCAAACCATGGCCAAAATGTATGATCCTCTCCAATTCTGGCCATGGTTGAATAAGAAGAGAATATTTCCTATTTCATTAAAATATTGACCAATGCGAGTAAAACATAGCCAGAAAATGAACTTTAATTGTCCTGACCTTTCAATAACCAATCGCAGTTTTACGAAATATTTTTGTGTATTGATGATGTTGATTTCAATTTCAATGGAAACAAATATTGTCATTGGCTGAACGTGAACATGACATCACAGCATAGAGGCATAAATATTCAAGATTACGACAATTTATGTGATCAAGGAGCCACCGGTAGGAGAGAGCTATATGCAGACTCCGAACCGTGGCTTTAGACAATGATATCTTTAAATTGAATTAGATTGGATCAAAGATTGTTATAACCATAAAATTTTACAAAGAATTGTTAAGAATTTCACTGCATACCTCATAAAACTTTGCTATACCCATAAATTATCTACATGTACATACGTGTTGATATCTATTTAGTTTAACTATACATTTTATAAAGTTCATCATTTTATAGAGTCTTTCTTACCAGAATCCATGTAAAAGAACTGTTATTGATAATAATGTGTCCATGATGGGTCCCTGCACAAAGAGACAAGCTGGCATTACTCCTAACATACTGATGGCCAACAGGCGTTCAATCTTCCAGTGTGTAGATGCCATCATAGCATGGTCGCCACGCTTCTCCTCTACAAACACAAAGCAAGATTTACAAACTTGTCCTGTTTGATCTCATGAAGAATTTTTACTCAAGCCCTAGAGGGGCTTGAGTTATCTAAAACGATGCTAGGTCATCGAATTACTCAGTTTAAAAACACGAAATTATATTATATTTGTAGATAAACATATTTCTAGAAACAAAAATGAAGCTTATGTTGAAAACGTGTATATTCAAAAATATTAAGTGTTAAAAGTCGGATTCTATTCTACAGCGTATGAACAATGAGTGAAGCGTCGCAGCTGCAACAGTTTCTATACAGAGATTTCGCGCTTTCATTTGCGTAGGAATCTCAGGTATTTTTTTTTTTTCATTTCAGTCGCCGACAAAGCATCCTTGGACGAGTCCACTGGTTACTCTGAAAGGTGACATCAGATTTTTACCCCATTTCTAATTGTCCTTCTCTTAACAACTTTTCGAAACGCTTATTCTCGCAGTGTTGGTCTGATTTCAATATGACTTGGCATAACTTCACAAGTAGACCACACTAAGATACATTATTATCTGTCAAAGTTTTACAATGCGTAGCAAAAAAATGTATGGCATGTACCCCCAAACTGAAATTGCCTATAACGGGACTGAAAATGATGTGCACTTTGAGTGACAGTAAAATAATAGCGCAAAATTAATGTTAATTTCTCCCTCATACGTTTTTTTTTATTTTAAAAAATCGTACTTTCTTCAGCTTTGGTAACGGAACCTAAATAACTTCTTTTGGATTCGAACGGAATATGTACTGTACATGCCGCACAGTTAAATGTACCCGTATACCGGTAATTACGTGGCTTTTTGGAGCCCTGAGAACCCCCCCCCCTCCACTTTGAAAAACTTTTCTTCCGACTTGCAACAAGCTATTTAGATTGATGTTTATAACATGTTTTTATGTACGTCATAGCAAAATTAAAAAAGCGTATAGTTTGAAGTATATGAAATGTCTACATAAAAAATATTTTATTAATTCAAGAATATATACGTCTATATACTCTATAAAATATTCCTGAAAGTGAGTAAATTAAATTCATCGTATAGTACGATAATATTATATTTATTCTAATGTAACTTCATTATATGAATTTTGTTTCATGTACATGTATATAATTCAATAGAAGATTGAACTAATAATACACATTATACCATTTTAGGATATTAATGACTTTTCTTAGTTGATTTTCTACAGCTTGAGTATCTCTGACTTTTTGTCAGTATATACTTGTTTTTTTTTCATTTCCAACCAGACAAGAATAACGATGCTCACAAATTATCTCAACCCTACCATCATCAGATTTTTAAAGATATCTATAAAAGATATTTCCATAAAAAACTTTGAATGAACCCCTTTTATGGTCCAACCCAGTCTTCTGGGGCCATAATTTAAACTACACTGAATCTGCACTATCTGATCTATCAATATCAGATCTTGCAATTTAACTTTCAGTGTGAACCTACAATTTTTTTTACCTACCTGGTCGAAATGGACCCCTTTTTGCCCTGAAGTTTCGTGCTCTGAAAAACTCTATCACAGCATTACTGCTGGCAACAGGCGTCAGGGAGAAATGTTTGGTAATTAGACTGTTCTGAAGATTAGCAGGAAGTCTTTGGTGAAGCAAACTGTTCTTCATAAATAAACAGCCATTACCTGCAACACATGAAAATTCTCAATAAAATGTTTTCAGAGATGTCAATGTTCAGCATTCTGGCAGATTTAATTTAATGTTCTTATAATTATTTAATTATTTGTAATAATGTGGTAGTATACATGTCTATGCTGTGAGTTAATTTATTCTGTACAAACTGTTGGAGACATCTAATTGAATCTTTTGTGATATTTCATGTGGGGAGATGGCGAATTAAGTTTTAAGAACTTGTGCCCAATCCCATTGTAAATTTTATTTATTAATTTCAGTTAAGTGTGAAGTTTTGCATTACGTCATGATCTTTTTCATCAGAGGCATCCAGCGTAAACAATTCACATGATTGGTCAACTCATATTATCAACATTCACATGAAAATTGTCTATTGCACGAGCAACCAATCAGGGATTTGAAGAAAGTTCCAGTCGTAAAGCTTACGGTTATACTATTTACCTTCAGCGCAGCTGTCAAACTAGATCGTGACATAAAACTTCACACTTAACTGCAATCTATATTATTCATCACAATAAAATATGTTCAAATCACTGAATACCTTACAACTTATTACTTACATAACTGACACAAATGGACAGTCTTCATAATCATTTTTGTATTTAATTTATTAAATTGATAAATACTTCTCATGTCTTTTAAACTTAACTTAAAGATAACGTAATAAAAGAAGGCACGAATATTATGTAAAAATAAAGGAAGAAAATATGCCGGCTTCAGGAATTTTTGCTGTTATGCAAATTACGTGATAAAACAACCTTGATCAGTTATTTATTTGATCTGAATGATTGATCATGTAATGGAATAAAATAAATTATTGTAACAATGGAATTGCTTTACTTAAAAACATAATAAGTACTCCATAAAAACCAAATACTTGAACAAGGAAAGTGCTAAAACAGAATATACATCCTCGATTTCGTGACCTTGTGTTTGGGCGACGCATTTAGAAAATAAGACAGATAGGTCTTTTAACCAATAAAACATTTAATTATGCGAAATCACCCATTGTTACATATTTATGACTATAAAGATCAATATTGACCAAGGAAACGTATTAATTCACTGAAAATATACCTCGACAGGCCCTCAAAAGACCGATGGTAGCCATCTTGATTTTGAACTGAAGAGTTCACACATATGGGACGCAACTCGTCCACAACTATGAGTAAGTTCTGATTAGGCCTACAAGAAAGGTATAATACATTTTTACCCCAAAATTAAAAAAAAGATGCTAAAAAATTTCTCTGATCTCATGAATAGTCATAATAAATAAATTATTATTTAACTAACTAAGTAAAAACTGTAAAATTGTCATGTCAATTTTTAGCAATGAAATAATCAACCTTTGTTATAATATATATCTTGCAACACCTGTATAACTCTTGTACATATGTTTGTTCCTATTTTGTGTACCAGTTTTAGATGTTTAAAAATTTGTTATTATATGTTTGTACTCTTATGCTTCATGTGAGGATTTGAATGAATAAAATAAAATAAATAAATAGTGAATAAAATGTTTCAAACAAAGTATGTATTGTCATGTCACTGAGTTTTAAAATTACAGGTACATGTATATGATTGAAATACACCAATGATTAAAATATATTTTCTTCTAAATGTAACTCTTGCATATACATGTATTTTCTTTCCTTTACTCCTAGATCAATTTTGCTGACTAGTTTTAGATGTCCATGTAAGGCTTTTTCCATATTCCACTCTGGAGTAGCTAAAACCAATATAATGAGATACTGAATGCAATCTCCAAAATTTCTCTTTTTTACTCCTAGAATAATAGATGATTGTGATTGCATTCATCCTTGAACCCTGTACAAAAAATGTAAAATTCATGGCCCCTGGGCCAGGAGTTATGGTGCTAGGACGAGACTTTATTGTGAAAAAAAGGGGGGGGGGTGTTATTAATTTCGGTTTGTCTGTCCACCCGTCAATCCGTCTGTCTTTCTGTCTGTCACACTTTCGTTTCCGAGCGATATCTCAAGAAAACTTTGAACTTTTGCAATGAAGTTTAACAAGAAGACTTGTCACCATTCTTTTTTGAGGATATATTTCATTACTATCTATAACATGTATCATGTACATTTCAAATATCTGTTTCTTCTTTGTGGAAACCAAACTTGGACGTCGATATAAGTGACGTTTTAGATTTCGGAGAGGATTTTGTCACAGATGTTGTAAGTTTATAGCGTTTATACACAAATAGTAATTATTAGCTGATTAATAGCAATTAAAACTGATTTACAGTTCTTTTGGTAAATTTTGGATTTGCCGTGCATGTATTTAATTAACATGAAAAGCTAAAGGCATCAATATCTATGCAACATATGTACATGTAGACATCAAATGTGTTTTTCTTTATCGGATAATGTTTTATTGCAGAGAGAGAGAGAGAGAGAGAGAGAGAGAGAGAGAGAGAGAGAGGGAGAATTATGTAATGAATCAAAATTATTAAAGTGGATTGAAATAAAGTGGATTTGACAAAATCAAATCATTATATGATTTTTTGTGTAGCCAATCAGAGTTGACATTTTAGCCAACCAAATGATTAAAATTATTAACCAATCAGTACTAATTGAACATATGCAAAATAGTATAAAAAAAGGAATCAATTTAGCTTCGTTTACTTTTGGTGTAACTCTTTGTCGGAGTTAGGTGACTTGGGAAGGGTACCTGGGCTGTGTCGGGAAAGTTAGACCACTCAGCCCAGGGACCTAGTTCCCTAGTGATTTTGTGACTAGCTATGGTGTCTCGGTGACTCTAGCTTGTGTCTAACCAAAAGTACTACAGTGTCCTGTTGATAGCTATGGTGTCTTGGTGACTTTAGCTTGTGTTTGTTGTGTGTCTTCAGATGTATCTGTGACTTTGTGATTTTTAGGGTGTGTTTTAGATAGTTGCAGACTGTATCGGGAAACAACAGAATTTTTAGGTAAACCTCTCATTCTGCAGCTACAGGGATAAGGTAATAGGTTTGATAATTGGTTTGATAGGTTATTGGTGATTCTTTTGTTATAATTCGTTTTTATTTATTTGACAATCATTATCCAGATATGACCAAGGAAAAAGTATACTGTATATAGTGAATTTCAGTCAATTGTTCTTTTAGTGTCATTGATATTATTGAAGTTTGATTAAGATTTTACAGTATAAGTGTGATTCTTAGGAAGGAAACCTAAGCGAACCCAATTTATTAATCATTTGTACTTTGTAAATACGTTACAGTTACATTGTTTTCAGAATTTTTTCCATCAAATCACTACATCTTGTTTTGAACTTTACAGATACATGTATACATGTACAAAATTGTACCTGCATGTCTTTCAACGAACAAATGTTTTCTGGACTCAAATTTGAATGCAGCTGTTAAAAGTAAAGATGCAAGAGTTAAGATCTTGAAATTTAGTTATAGTGGGTTGCGCCTTCGAAGAGAGACTTATGGAAAATAAAATGCATAATAGTTTACTCACAAAATTTATGATTTAATATAAGGAAAAAAATTAATAATTTGAAATTCAAATGGTTTTCAGTATCGAAATACTTGTAGTATAATAAGATATAACAAAGTTTATACGTTCATGAAAAAGAAAAATAATATTTGCCCGACAGATATGTTGCAAATGCAGATTGAATTATTATTCACAGATCTGAAAATATTATAAACAAAACACCATTGCAAAAATGTTTTCAACGTTATTTCATGATGTGCTCCATTAAATACGCGTATGTAACTAAATTTTGATTGTTCAGGGCAGTACAAATACCCTACATAATATTTTAGTGAAAAGAGACATGAAGCAAAGAAGCCAACAAACACCGCAGTAAAAAGACGAAACTATTCTGGGAAAGTAATAAGGGAGGAAAAGCGTTCATTCTTGATATGCAGTTATATGCATAAATGCTACATCATCAGGAACATTTTTACTTCTTGAAATTCATTTTAAAATCACACAGTCATGCGATTTAAAATTAACTGATAAGTTCGACATTTTAATTATCGCATTCAGTAAAACTTTTCATTTATACGATTATTTTAGGCTGTCCAGTGTCCAATCACCATCAACCGAACAAAGAAAAAATTTTAGTAAATATTGTAGAAAGATCTCCCAATAGAGGACCAACAAAACCTTTATTAACAGAAAGTCTCCCCTAGAAAATCAGCAGAGCTTGCATTAGCAGATTCACGAGTTCTTTTAAAAAAGTGGAAAAGAAGTCAACAGAGCTTGGATTTACAATAACAAGTTCCACTACAGGAGAAAAATGCAACGGACCTTTGAATAGCAAATATGCAAGTTCTCAAAGAGGGATAGAAAGCAACAGAGCTTGGATTAGAAGAAACATGAGTTCTCGAAGTGGAAAATAAGGCAACGGGGATTAAATTGACAGATTAACAATTTCATAATGAGGGAAACTCAAAGAAATCAACATATAGCTTGGATAAGCAGATACATGAGTTCTCAAAGTGGAAAAGAAATAAAGAGAGTTTGGATTAACAGGTAAACACATTCTCCTTCAAGATAAGAAATCAGCAGAGCTTGGAGTAGCAGGTACACAAGTTCTTCTAGAGGAAAAGAAAACCATAGAGGTTGGTTTAGCAGACACACGAGTTCTCAAGTGGAATAAAGTAAACAGAGCTTGGATGATAGGTTGAACAAGTTATTCTACAGGAAAAGAAGGTAACAGAGCTTGGATTAGCATATAAACAAGTTCTTAAAGAAAAAGAAAGTAGCAGAGCTGGAGATAGCAGATACATAAATAAGAACAGAGTTCGGATTAGCAGGAACATGAGTTCTCATTGTGGAAAAGAAATAAACAGAGTTTGGATTTACAGATAAACATGTTTTCCAACAGGAAAAAGAAGAAAGCAGAGTTGGAATGGAATAACAAATGAAAGGAGCAGTCCTTGGATTAGCAATAGCAGATACACGAGTTTTCAAAGAGGGAAAGAAAAAAGCCAGAGGTTGGATTTACAGAAAAACAAGAGGAAAAGAAGTCAGTAGATCTGGGGAAGGCTGATACACAAGTTCTCCTATAATAAAAGATTTCAGGGAAGCTGGGGATTGCACTTGAGTAACATGTATAGCAGAGTGAGAGATTTCACTAACACAAATTGCTCTAAAAACTTTAATTTCTACTATAAGGGGGTAATTGTATATTAATGTGACCAATTATGTCATTGTTCTCTTTGAACAATAGATGTTTGAAAGATACTCTCTTTACCCAGAATGTTTTGTGCTAAGTTTTAGAATTGGAATTTATTTGTTATATACTCATCCATAAATTATGAAAATCTTTTCTGTTCTTGGGAAATAAGAGCAAATCGTCACTGCTAGTTTATTTTGTTTTATTACATGTATAAACCTTTTTAGCCCCCACCCTTTGAAAAGAGTCAACTTGCTTGTATATTATCAACAAAACAGGTCCATACATAATTCATAATAATAACAGATGATTTTCATTTCTAGAAGGACAGCAAAGAAAAGACACGAAAAGCTTTAAAGGTTCACAAGTTTATTTTTCACATCAGAAGGTAAGACTAGTTTTTGAACTTTTTGCAGTAGATTAAAGCCAAGGAACCTTCTTACATTTAAGATGACAATTTTCTCTAGTGGCGGCACAGAACGCGCTATTCTCTGTAAACGGTCTAGGGAATCGGGATTATTGAGGAGGGCCAAGGGCACTCCGTCTGAGGAGGTCATACTTAGCATATAATTGTGCTGAGAGAGATTATATCCATATCGAACCAGTAAATCCACAATATCCCATTGTAAGAGATCAATAGCTAACTCAAAAGGGTCATATAGGCGCCTCTCTCGTCTCCCGAAGGATACCAAGGCCGGAGGGTCAACTTTAGCGTTGTGTCTCAACAGAAGTCGTACGATCTTCTGATCTCTGTTTCCAGTTGCAGCAAGCAATGGGGTAATACCAGACATGACTGTAAAAGACAAAAAAGTTTTTTTTTAGAATAGAGTAATCTTTCCTATATATAATAATCCCAAACAATTTTGGATCTTTCAGCGATTTAGATAAAAATCATTTACCCGGTAAATCTCGTTAAAAAATAAAGTCGGATCTTACTAAATGAAATAAAATTTGAAAACTCCACATTATTTGTGATATTGATGTACATATACATGACAAAAAGCACACGGTGGGTGTGACCGGTAGGAAGGAGAAGCTCACTCCTCCATGGCACTATAATCCCACCTCTGATGTTTCAGAGATCCGCATTTGCTCTGGTCCAAAGTTTGTATGACAGAGGAATGCAGAATTTGTATAAACATATTTAAAAGAATTTAAATACTCTGTAGAATTTACACTCAATGTTGGGATCTGCCCCACAAGCAAGAAAATACTCCACAAATCTAGCAGATTTCAGCAAAGTTGAAACCATGAGAGGGTTACTGTTCTCGCTCTTATTCGAATTCAGGTTAGCACCCATTTGGATTAAAAGTGTCATGACTTCTATAACGTCATCACCAACCACGTCACAAGAGGGACGAACTGATGACGAAATTAAATTAGTTAAGGGTGTATGACCCCCTTTATCTTCTGTATTGACGTCTGCTCCAGCCCTTAACAACAGAGGTACAACGTCCAGATGGTGCTTTGTCAGTGAAATCTGAAAAGGGAAAATCAAGTGCTTGTTTTACAAAAGATATGCTTTAATCACCCTACTTTTGCTTATTAGTAGTTATTACCCGATTCACTGATTCAAAATCTGTTAACTGTCTGGCACAGATTTTGATATACCTTAAAATGAAGTAGGAGTTAATACCTGAAGTGCAGTTCTGTAATCTAATACATCTTTGGCATCTACGACAGCACCTTGTTTAAGAAGAATTTTAGCTATAGTCCCTCTTTTTGTAAGCTTTGGTATCTGACAATCATAAATTAGTGGAGTCACACCCTGCACTGTTCTTTTATTAATATCGGCATTGTATCTTATCAATGAAATCACAATAGACACATTATCAGAATCAATGGCAAAATGAAGTGGTGTCTTGCCGAATTTATCGGGAAAATTCACAGACGAGGGACATTCTGATATTAAATATTCCACGATATCTTTCTGTTGACAAATGATGCTTTGGATCAAAGGTGACATCCCCCACGTGTCACACGATATCACATCCGCTCCAGCTTCCACGAGTGCTTGAGTGGTATGCAAGTTTCCTTTTTCGCAACTCAAATGAAGAATGGTGAAGGAAACGTACGGAACTCCAGTGTATCTTTCATTAGGATTAGCACCGTTTTGTAATAAGTGTCTGAGCTTGATGACGTCATTATTGTCCACGGCGTGATATAATGCAGCGCTTAAGTCCATTACTTCCACCTATTGTATGTAAATATTTTTTTTAAAATAATTCAAATAATTAATATAATAAATAATTTTGATTTGAATAAAATATCCTTCATTTTTTATCCATATATTTTTGTACATTTTCAAAATACGAGGGCTGTTCAATAAATAATGTCCTCGGTGCTCGGAAAGAAGCAAAAGACGCTTTTCAATGATTTAGTATTAATGATTTAACTTAATATTTCTTTTAATTAAAACACATGTCCATTAACTTTTTTATCCAATTTCTGATTGTTTTAAGAACTCATTTATGGATATGACCCTTAGTATGCTAGAAAATGGTAGATCTTCCTGGACTCGTTTCTTCCTTCTGAAAGGTGTTTTATCAACTTTAGAAAATGAAACAAGTCAAAAAGGCAAAAGATCTGACGAATATTGTTAATGTGAAAAAATATAACTTTCTGCTTATCCCAAAAACTCCTTTACTCTTCATGCAGGGCGTGCGGGTTTGGACGCTGTCATAAAGAAATTTAATGTAGTAGATTCCTGATTCTGGTTCCTTCCTCTCATTAACCTTTCCATTTTTTTGCAAAAGATTTTGCTTTCTAGACTCTTCCAGAAACTAAACTGCCTCCCCGAATACGAATTTGAACAACAAGACCACTGATATTTAAGAAAATTGCAAATAAATCTGTCTTTGTGATCTTGCAATTCTTTGTTATTCTCAGACCTTTGCTGTTTTTGTCAAGTACATCTTATTGTAAATTTTGTTTCGACAGTTTTAAGCAATAGATTCAAGTTTCATTATCTGTTTGAATTTAAAAAAAAAAAAAAAAAAAAAAGTGGATAACTACATTTACTGATATTTTAAAGTAATTGTTTAGATATTCTTACATGCTGTCGTTTTCACTCATTTTTTAAAATATAGGGTGATCTTGGAGTACTAAGCTTTTTTTTACTGTCAAACGTTTCTTTAGAACAGTGTGAACTACTCCCGAAATGATGTCTATAAAATTTGTTATGTGTCTTAAAGTCAATCATACATCATCAGTGATTATTTTTTTTTGAAATTTGTCAAACAGTACATTAGTTGTTATAATTTTTTGTTAGCAAGGACGGTACCCATTTTTTGATGCCCATTATATAATTTTTTATCATTGAAATCCACCTGTTCATTTGTCTGTAAAACATACATTGGTTGCCGTAAATTTTACATATTTCAGCGAATATTTCTTTGGGATTCTTTAGAGTTTTACAGTAGCTTTAATGAAGAGTTTAATTTCACTCTAGTTTGTTTACTGATTCTTTACCATTCATTTTTGATGCAGTGTCTCGAATACCCCTTGTTTCCCAGCTTCTCACAATGAATTTATTAAATAATGCCAAAAAATCAAGCTTAATGTCATATGATATCTGTATTTATGTCATACAGTTCAGGACATTATTTATTGAACAGCCCTTGAATCAACACTTTTGCAATAACAATAAAACATAGATGTCAATAAGCAAAGATGCATATGTTTAATTATGTTGCCTATTGAAAAAGTTGAATAGAAATGCAGCCAGTTCTACTTGACTGCCGGGTTCAAATTAATCAAGCTGATTTTATACATAATATTACAACATCAAGGTTTTAATAAGTAAATAATGGAAAATATATGTACCTGAAACACATTGTTACAATCCAACAGAGAAAGATAGAAACACGTGTGTCTTGTTACGTATGCAGTCTTGGCGCGAGAGGTAATGAAAACAGTATGAACAGTATTTTTGTTATAAAACGAAGTGCGCAGTTCTAATACATTATTTCTTCAAATCTTATTTATAGTTCCTGGGTATCTGGCATACTTATGTGAGGGATATGGTAATGAAGAGTAAGGGTGCCACTTCCAAAATTATGACTATAGTTCACAGCCTTTGGGTATAGGGTTTTGTTTAAGGATAGTGTTTTCTTTTGAGTATACATTTTCCCCATTAGAAGTGGAATATTTCTACGAAACAGAAAGCATTTTATATAAAGATGCATTATTTATTAGATAAAATTCCAAATTCCATTTTTTTTAACATCAAAATATCATCAACAAAAAATACAACATTTAATATGATATTGCATTTTTTAACATTTAATTTATCATGCCCCCGTAATCGAAGATTCGGGGGTAGGGTCTATATAGTTTTTACCCTGTCCGTTCGTTTGCCTGTTTGTTTGCAAGAACTTTACCTTTGTTCTCAAAAACTTTAACCTTTGCTCATAACTTTTTGAGTGGGTGGGGCTATATATGGCTTTCATTATTTCACAGGTACATTCCTCATGACAAGACCTTTCTTTTGGTACCACCTTGGAGATTGTTCAACTTTTACTAAAACATACCACACTTTAACCTTAACCATATCATTTGACTAGAATGTGCTAGGACTTTATTACTTCACATTTGTATTCATTTTGACAAGGTCTTACAGACGGTATACATATCTTTGACCTTTTGACCCACTTTAACCTTGGCCATAACTCTTGAACAGTTACAACTGTAGAACAAAGACTTTCATATTTCACAGATGCATTCCACGTGACAAGGTCTTCCTTAAGGTATCAACAACTTTGTCCTTTTGACCTTGACCTTCGGAGTTCGACTTGCATTTGAGAAATTTTAACCCTCGCCATAAGCTACAATACTGGGTCATTGTCTTGTTTTGATCAATGTTTTATGCAGCTAAAAATGTACATGTCAATTCAAACTATCTAAGCATGCTTCAAATTGATTTTTTTAACCTTCAAATTGAAAGTAATTTTACATTGGTCATAACTTTTCAATGTTCGGTGCTAAGGCTTTAATGTTTTGCTAGTGTGCATGTATTATTAGACTTTCCTTTGAGATTATCCAGAAATAAATTAAAGCATTTTACTTATGTAAACATCGAGATGAAAATTGTCATTGACATTTATTACAAATTTTCCAAAAATAACAATGCCATTTTTAAAGAAGCGGGCAGTGGAAGATCTTTCACCTTTTCAGATATGTCATATTTCAAATTATGTCTAATTTTCAAAACGACAATTTTCTGGAGAGAGAATGGCGAACTCGCCGATGTTTGCAGTTTAGACAACACAGAGGGGTGGTCTCTAAGGGTTTCGGGCGCTTCGTCCGAGTAGAGGGTGTCTTGTAAGTATCTGTGCTTAGAGAGGCTATATCCATAATGAATCAATATGTCCACAATGTCCCACTGTAACAGATCGACAGCTAACTCAAACGGATCAAAAAGGCGTTCTTCATATCTTCTCCGACAGACCATGGCTTTTGCACTCACGTCTGCATTATGTCGCAGCAAGAGGGTTGTTGTGTTTAGATCTCTGTTACCCACGGCAGCCAACAGAGGTGATATTCCAGAAACAACTGAAAATGAAAATGTTAAATATTTCTTGAATAATATAAAAAAAGACAACATCAAACATAGAACAAGAATACAAAAAAAAAAAAAAATTAGCATCGAATGATACTCGAGCATGCTAGAGGTTCATGATCACGGCGAGATACTTTTGACTTGGTGCCGCTGAGGTATATAAGGGGCGTAGGAAACCGAGGATCCTACTTGTAGGAGTACAGCGACGGATAACCTGAAATTACTGATTAGAAAAAATTACATTTTTAAAATAAGAACAATTTTGCTTACATTTGACATTTGGATTTGCCCCACAACCCAAGAAATATTCTACGAGTGTGGCTGATTTCAGTAATGTTGAGACCATGAGTGGGTTACTGTACTCGCATTTATTTGTGTTTAAGTCAGCTCCCTTTTGCTGCAGAAGAACAATAATTGTCATGACGTCATCACTGACAGGTGGATCCAGACACGTGGCGCGGATCGAGGAAGTCATAAGATTTGTTAGGGGTGTACTTCCTCCCTTATCTAAACTGTTAGAATCCGCACCAGCTGACAGCAATATCGACACAACATCTGTGTGTCTTTTTGTTACAGCAAACTAAAATAAAAAAGAAAAAATGAAAACAAGTATTATAGGGTTATTGAACTTATATTGGTGAATATTGACACGAGTTGGCTGTACAAATGCACGAGCTTGCGAGTGCATTTGTACAGCCAACGAGTGCCAATATTCACCAATATAACTCCAATAACTCCTTTATTATATAGCTAAAATATTTCCTCATAATTTATAATAATTATTCCAGCTAAAAAAACTCAATGATTTTTTAGTATCGGTATTCAAATTAACGCCTGTCCAGTATCGCATCATTCCGATGACTCTACCGAACGGTATGATTTGCATATTTAGATTTTAATGGATCTAATACGTACTAATTTTTTGATAAATAATTTCATTTTATATAAAGAATAAACACATCTCACCTAGATGCCACTTCCTTTCTCTAATTTAGCCCAAAGAATTTGACCAGACGATTTTTTTTTGTTTACATTGGGGCGTTCGATATAAAACGCTCGTATTCGGAATGTTTCGGGCATACTCGTATACGTAATACAAAATCAGCGTTCAATAAAACGTCAAGATGTTGAACGCTGAAATTCTCTAGATTTTTGGTAGTTTTTATTTGAGACTATTTATCAGCTATATAATAAATTTTGTAATTTAATAAAACAAAGTTATATTTAAAATCGTTTGACAACATATATTTGGTGATATAAGGAGTTGGGGTAAGTGGATAGTTAGCATCTTCCCAAAATATATTAATACGTTTCTAAAAGAGTAGAAGTTCCTGAGATAGAATTCGGTTTATTTTCTTATACTAGTAATTACTACCTGAAGTGCAGTTCTGTAATCTAGAACGTCTTTTAAATCCACGAGGGCTTCTTCTTCTAAAAGGATTCGAACCATATCCTCTCTGTTTTTAAGTTTTGGCGTTATACAAGCAAACATAAGCGGCGTAATGCCATACATTGTGCTCCTGTTTATATCTGCTCCCCTTTTAATGAGCAATTCAAAAATTTCAACATTGTCCGATTCTATCGCAAAATGAAGAGGCGACTTATCAAATTTGTCTGCTTGGTTTACCAACTCAGGACAAACGGTCAACAAGTACTCGACAACGTCTTTATATTGAGAGATGATGCTATGGACGAAAGGTGTCATGGCCCATACGTCACGTGACCGAACATTGGCGCCAGCTCCCACGAGCACTTTGGCGGCTTCTAAATGTCCTTTTCCACAACACAAGTGGAGGATCGTAAAAGACAAAGCAGGACTGTCATTATAATTCTCATCAGGATCCGCACCTTCTCGAATTAAATGACGCAGTTTTGTTACGTCATTCTTGTCCACAGCATGGTATAAGGCAGCAGCGATGTCGTCTGCCATCTTTGGGGATCTTACTGAAAAAATAAAACAAACTAAATTAAAGAATGTTGTATGCTCTTTTAGTAAAATAAGTAAGATAATATTTATTTATGCAATATTTTATTTGAACTTATATCGGTTTATTATGTAAGGAAATAATATAATTGGATTGGGCAGCAGGCATTGCTTCATATTACATGTATAAGCTCCTCTTATTTATGCCATATCATAAGCTTATGCAACTTATTCTTGTTTCAGGATAAATAACAATTTTTTTTTCAGAAATCAGGAACATTTGTTCATTAAGACAATCTGAATAATGTTTGCATACCTTGGATAACTTAGAATTTTGTAAAATTTTTGTAATAACCTCACAAGATTTGTGTAAATATTTGTAGACAGAAAATGGAAATCGCTTTCAATATCTTTATATTGCAGGAATTTATCATTAATATGTTATTACGTTCTATTCAAAATCAGTATATTAAAATCAATCCACACATTAAATTTCTGAGACTTTTTCTTACCTTATTTACAAACATTACCCGACCATTATGATTTTCTCGCAGACAGAGGGTTCTATTTATACATATATTTTGTTTACTTCCACACACACACACTTCGCAGAAACATTTGTCGAAGAGCCAAGAACACGCACGTGTATTTCTCTGCTGAACACTTGCATAAGAACACTCTCAGAGTAGATGTGAAGACTGGAATCACACCATTACATGTAGAAGATTCTCCCTATGTCATAACATCATTTACTGTCCATATATACTGTATGCGCACAAAAAGAAACCAAAACACATTTTATCTATTAGATTTTTAGAATTTAATAAATGAAATTAATAAGCAAAATACAAATTATATTTTAAAGTGAGGTGAATTGTTTTCACCCCGCTAGACATATTAAGTCTCTCTGCAAAGATGTTGGTAATGGCAACATTCCAACTTTATGATGGAGATCCTTTCCTAGAAATGTCCGAATATTTAATGATATAATCTTAAATAACGTAAGTGGTTTAGAGGCCAATTCCTGCAATGATGTCAGAGCTGTTTGATTTTGTTGAAGAGGAATGGGGATATTCTTAGTATTAAAAGGGTCTGCTAAGTAGGGATACTTTGATAAATTAAAACCATATTCATACAAAAGTTCCACGATATCAAAACAGCCCAGATGCACGGCCAGTTCGTAGGGGTTATAGTAGAACTCCTCTCTGCGTCTGATCACCCGTCCCTGGAGATAGAGGGGGCTGTTGTACTCCAACAGAGTTTTAATTGTTGGAATGTCACGGTTACCGACAGCCGCTAAAAGGGGATAAACACCAGAGGCAACTGAAAATATAATAACATTTTTCTATGTTTTTCTTTTGAAAGATAGGAATTTGTTTGAAATGCAGTCATACTAAAATTTTTACAAAATTGTGATTTGTATTGTTGAAAATGAACACTATGTAACAAAGTTTTCCATTTGTTAAAAAAAAAAACAACTTGTGTCTACTTAATTGAAGGAGACATTTTTAGAAATCATGTATGAGCCATATTTGATTGTTTAATAAATTCAAATACAAGTTTGAAGTATGTTGTTGATGTTCCTAGACAGTAAGCTAAAGCAATGGTTCACGGGGTGCAACTCGTATATTATATATTTAATCGTGTATTGTATGTCGTTGCTTATCATCATTTTTGATCCCTCACGTTAAAATTCATTGAACGATGAGGAGCAATGTCCGAGTCAATAATTTGGAAACATTAATTGAAATCAAATTTCTGTTTTTTTTCTTGCTTTTGATTTACAGTTTGGCATATCCTTCCTTCAAGGTAATTTCTCAATGATCAGAACCAATGCAGAATGAGGCACTGGAATCAATTCTAAACTGAGTTTGGTAAAAGTATGGCATCACTCAGTCAACAATTTAAAACACTGGGCAATGAGGTGGTACAGAATTATATGAGACATTTTACCAGCCACACCCATTAAATAGTAGTATGTTGGCCATTGCACTTGAATCAAGACCGATCAAGAAGGGCATGTAGTGGTGTCCTTTGCATAACTGGAAAAGGTGGTCCATTTTTACCAATAAAAATTGAGAGACAAAGTAATTCAAATAGCAAACACTTACAACGAATACCCGGATCAGCTCCGTGTTCTAAGAAAAATCGAACCAAGAACCCACACTTTAAAAGCGACGCCACCATTAGTGGACAACAATCCTCACATGTTGTCATATTGAGGTCACTTCCGGCTTGAAGTAACATCACGATGATTGACATGCAGTCGTCCGTTTGGATTGATCCGTCGGATCGGACACATTGGCGGATCACGTTCGTCATTGGTGTCCTTCCTGCTCCATCAAGAGTGTTAGTGTCAGAGCCGACTTCTAACAGAAGCTGAACGGCGGCAATTTTCAACTTCAGAGCTGCATACTGGAAAATAAAAAAATACGGAGGATCTGACAAAAGAATAGATAAATGGTGGCAGGAAAATTTGCACTTTATAGTGAATATATTAAAAGGAATTTTGCTATTTTCTGAATGTGTAAATGGTCAAAGCATTTTACTCGATACACATTCGTGACAATCCTCCCCGTACTTGCAATGCGGTGCGTTTGGCGGCCACGTCTCGGAGATTGACCAGAGCTCCGTGATCTATCAGCAGTCGCATCATCTCTATATCGTTCTGTAGATCTGACGTAGAACACAACAGCATCAGCGGGGTAATCCCCTTCATTGTTCCGACATTGACATCAGCACCATGGCGGATAAGAAGATCTAAGATAGATACAGAGTCGGACTCTATAGCATAATGTAAAGGAGCTTTTCCATATTTATCACACATATTAATAACATCCGGGTTACTTGTGATCAGAAATTCAACAATTTCTGTAAACTGTGGCATGATGGCGTGTATCAAGGGCGACATCCGCCATTTGTCTCGCGACAAAATGTCCGCTCCTCTGTCAACCAAGATTCGTGCGGACTCTAGGTGCCCCTTTCCACAGCAGACGTGTAGAATAGAACTGGAGCTGATATTTTCCATGTCGTAATAATATTCATTTGCATTGGCTCCACTGTTCAGTAATTCCTCTACTTTGGCGGGATCATTTTTGCTAACAGCATGGTAGAGTTGAGCAGATATATCCTCCATGCTTACTAATAAATAAAATTTTGCGAATTCCAACAGTTTTAAATCATATTCCGCATCAGATTTGTAAGAATCTGAGCAGCACGGAAGCGGAGAAGAAATTCTGATAAGCCATTGTAAACACAGAGGGGTTGTGTCAAAAGAGGGAAATAAACCCCCGTGCATGCGTATAAATTAAATAAAAATCTATATACATGTATAACAATTATCTCGAAGATAAAATATTTCTGCTTATGATGAAATATTACTTTACATTTTTATTCATTTAATTGGTGGTTTTGTTAAAATAAATTTTATTGTATGATTGTATCAAACAAAGGAATAAAAAAGTTCTTTTTTAACAAGTTTTTCTCCGTGTTGATTTTATTTATTTTATCACGTTTAATTTGTAACCTTAGACTTTTTATTAAAAACTAAAGGTATTGATGGAAAATTAAAGTTAGTTTTGATTTACTTATAGTTGAAATTTATTTATATTCATTTAAAATATTTAATTAACTCTTTTAAAATTATATATGATAAAATAAATTTAAAAATTCTAATAAGATAAATTTATCGATGAAGATTTCTCAGTCAGTTTTGATTTACTTATAGTTGACATTTATTTATATTCATTTAAAATAAATAATTAACTTTTTAAAAATTATGTAAGTTAAAATAAATTTAAAAATTCTAATAAGATAAATTTATTGATGAAGAATACTCAGTCAGTTTTGATTTTTTATAGTTGACATTTATTTATATTCATTTAAAATAAATGATTAACTCTTTTAAAATTATATAAGATAAAATAAATTTAACAATTCTAATAAGATAAATTTAACAATTCTAGTCGATCGAATACACGAAGAATTATTGTCACATGCTTGAAAATTATGGATTACCCATGCACACATGTCATCTTTAAAGTTTTTTTCGTCTTTTGTCGCTCGCATCTGTTTCCCGCTACCACGTATTCGTCCAATCAATGATTTTGTCGCCACGTTCAAAAGAAATAGTACGTTTGTAAAAATAAAGAATGTAAAAATCTGGATTTGATTTGATTATGATCCGGCGGAAAGCCAAGGAGTATAGTGGTTCTAGTCTAGAACTGGGTGGTGCGGCAGACATTACAAAACATGTCCCTATGAAGAAACTGAAATCTATGAAAGCCGTGAAGTACATCATTTTAATCATACTGGGTTTTATCCTTCATGCTGGATACAGGTTTATTACAAAGGTAGGTGACTGTCTACTACATTGGTACATGTCTAGTACAAAGGTACGTGTCTATCTGTACATATATATTACAGTAGTATGTGTCTATCGACATGTATTACAAAGATACATTTACGCATGTATTACAGTGATACAATATAAGATTTGGTACGTTTCTATTTTAATCAAAGATACATGTCTTTTACTTACGTACGTAATTTATTACAATTACACATGCCTAGCTACATGTACTAGAATTAAAATTAATTGTACATGTTTATGTCTTTCTCTACTCTAAAAATGTCAAAGAAATTTCCCCCCTTTTATCCAACAATTTTTATCTTCCAGATGAATTAGAACACAAAATTAAGAATATGGTAAAATTTATATTTTATGCATTTTATTATTTTAGAAACTAAAATATATATCAGGTCAAAACATCGTGAAACACGGAATGAAAAAAAATTTACGGAAGACTCAAAAGAGTGATTAATTTTCTGAATGTAATAATTAAGGAATAACTGTCTTATTTTTCGAATTCATGAAGTGATCAATGGATTGGCTTGTGTGATAATTTGCATAAACGCCGAAGGCGTTTATGCATAAAATTATCACACAAGCCAATCCATTGATCATCTTCATGAATTTGTAAAATCTGACAGTTATTCCTTATATTTACATGCTTTAATTCCGCCAATCCACGGGCTCCAAGCCGGCTTCTCTCTAGGTGTTGTCCCGCCCTGCACATGGTTTTTTTTGGAACCGCGCCAAGACATTCATGAGGAAATAAATTACATTTACAATTGGTAATTTTATCTCGGACAAAGACATTGGAAATGTAAATATTAATAATTAAATGAATAATTTTTGAAAATTTACTACAAAAACCTAAATATCTTCACTTATTTCAGCCGAGCTCACACGGAGATATAATCGACATTTCTCCTGACGACATTGTAAATAGCGTGGCCCCCGGTAACACAGATAATGATTGGGAAGACGACCAAAATCCATTTCTTGAAGATTTAGAGCGAGAGTCAAAGGTCAAAGAGAAATTAGGTGATCATGCCAAGCAAGTTTTTGACAATCAAAGAACGAAAAATACTGAAAGTGTAAAAATTGAAAAAAATTCGGAAAAACACAAAATAGTAAAAACTGATGAACACACGAAAAAGGAAAACAAACCAAAAGAAAATATTGAAAAACAATCTCCTGATAACAACCATCCTAAGAAGGAGATCCAAACCAACATATTAGATAATAAATTAAACCCTAGGAATGAAATTGAGAGGAAAGACTTAAAACAAGAAATGGAAATAGAAAACCGGATAGCACAATTAATGGACGACAACCAGGAATCGCAAAAATTGGACCATATGCCGGTAGAGGACTATAAAGATCCGGAAAAACCGATCCGGAAAGATCCGGAAGTACAACAGGAGTTCCAACAAAAAGCTGAACAGATAGCCAAAGTTGTGAACAGTAATATTAAAACGTTTGTTTTGTCTGAGGGACACCACACTCACGATATTCCCGCCATTGTGACCGCAGCCTCGCAGCAGACGTTCAGCCAGATTGAACACCTCGTCTCTTCCGTTCAATACTTTTATCCAAAGGAAGATATTTATGTGTTTGATTTGGATCTTACGGATGCTCAACGAATGAAGGTAAAGAGGAAGTTAAACGTACACTTTGCTGAATTTATGAGTTTGACCATTGTTATCTTCATCTTTTTTAACGTATTTAGGTTTAATGGAATAAAACAATTATAGGAAAGATCCCGATCTTGTAGCGGTTTATATTGAAAAAAAAATCAAAGTGAACATAAAATGACTCAAGTACCAGACAATAATTGTACAAAGTGTGCGGGAATTCTTAAATTGGTCAATGTTAAACAAAACAAAGACACGGACAAATAGGTCATATCTTTATTTAAAAAATCAATTTCTTTGCGATCTTTACATGTACTCTTTTTTCTTTTTGATTTCTTACAGTTGTCCGCTTTCTGCAATGTGCGCCTGCGCGGTTTCTGGTTGAATCTTTTCCCAAGCTTTATCCACGACTTATCGAACTTCCACTGGAGACCATTAATCATTCAGGTAATATAAATTGTTCCTAACTAAAAAGCATTTATGTACCTTCTTACATGTATATCATAAAAACTTCAAAACAGAAAGGTGCAATTTTTCCCAAAAACATTTCATAAAAATCTCCAAGTTCAAAATGATTGTTCTCACGAAAAGGTTTGCATGTACATTTTAAAACATTAGCTCAAAGCTAATGATAAAGGATAACATGATAAAGTTGGAAAATCTTGTCACGAGAGATATATCTTTAAAATATGAAAACGCTCGCTTACTGAATTGATTATAAAAATAAGAGACTGTATTTAGCGTTTCTGAAGTTGTAAATAATTAATGATTTTATATGAAATGTTATATGATAAAAAAACTTTTCGGTGCTTACATATATTAATCATCACGAACTTAAGTCTCAAACAATGTAGACAAAAATTTCTATGTACAAACTGTGTACTATAATTTGATTAATATCAAATATCAGATAACAATAAAAGATTATTCCTTTTTCGAATGATTTAGGATTGTTTCAAATAAATGCATCTTTAAAAATTTCAGACAGCGCTAGCGGAATTTGGACACATCACGTGGATAAATCCTGGATTTAAAGTGAGTTCCATGGCGTTCAATGATCTCGTGCATAAATCTGAGGAGCCCGGAATCCTGGTTATAGGACAAAACGCTGATTACTCAACATTCGCCGTGACACACCCCAAAATGTACAAATATTTAACAGTGGATAGGACACAGTTATTTAAGTCCCCTCATATTGAGGTCAGGGCAATGATCATTCATAATACAGAGGAAGTGATGAACAATTTTATGAAACTTCTATCTGCTTGTGCAGTCGAGGAACAATGTCTGAGTCCCCCTGGTGCTGCGCCTAGTTGCAGGTTTGACGTCACAGGGCGGGAATATGCCGACTGTCATCGCTATGACGAGTCAGCTGTCAATATTATTCTGAAAAATTGGCTTGGACATAAATCTGCCATATTTATGGAGAAGAGTAATTTCTTACAGCCCATAAATAAGTATGATAAAGCCAATCCAAAGATATGCAAAACTTAAAAAAACAATCTATAGTGAAAGTGTTACAATAACTGAACAACATGTCCACGGGTCGGCCTGCTCACCTGAAGCGACATTTTCCTTTCTGACAATCTGTAGTTACTGTGACCATTAGGCTTGAAGGCCATGAGTTCGTTAAATAATATTGCAGTATTATTCTTGATACCAACTTTACAAACCAGAGCATTAATGTTTAGAGCCAATCAAATCAGGATATGATAAAAAAGGGGTTTAATGCATTTTGGAAGATTTTAAAGACTGTGAAAGAAAATACATTTAGATCAGCATTCCATCTTGAAATTAAAATCGAATATCGATTTTAGGTGACTTCAAAACATTTCAGCATCTGAGGTGTACATTTAGTGCACCAAATTGTTTAAAAGCACCCTGATTTACCCAAAAGAAGCTTAGCTGCAGAACTGTGACACTCTGGTTGAGAAAATTCAGACAGACAAACCAGAGAGTACAGATCCAAGCGTTGTGAAAACATTCGATTTACGGAGTTTTTTTTTGCAATCGTTTTTTGAATTATTTCTTGTATTTCATCTATTTTCCTGCTTAAAACATGTTTTCCATGAATAAAGCATGTTTTACTCCTATTCTTGATACTTCATTTACCTTTCAAAGGTTCCAAACAAGGATATATATTACCTTGGAATGTCAGCTTCAAAATTCGCATTCAGGGGGTTTGCTAGAATTAATGCAATGAAAGGTAAAATTAAGTATCAGGAATATGAATATATTTAATAGTTTTAAAATATGCAATTAAGGGTAAAATTAAAAATCAGGAATATGAGTATATTAATTATTATTAATTATCGGAAACGGGAGTATGCATATACAAGTATTGCAAGAAATATTATGCAAAACAAACGACCAAAAAAAAGCGTCGCCATAAATCATTTTTTTTTTACAATGTGTGCATCCATTGTTCTCTGGTTTGTCTGTCCGAATTTTCTCAACCAGACAGCTTCAGTTTTGAAGTCAAAAGAAGCTAATAACACCCTTCAATCAAATGATAATTTAACAAAGCTCAAACCATAGGCGTCTGAAGTGTGAATCAATAGTGGACCCCTAGCCCTGCTTTAAAAAGAAATCAAGGGTCTAAGAAATTTCACCGTCAATCACCTCCACGTGCGCTCTATGCATTCGGAATTTTTTTTACCTTTTCTCACGTTGAAAAAAATGGCCTTGTGCTATATTATATATGAAAAAATAATAAACACAAGTGCATTTTTTTTTTATTTTACCCTTTGTAACGTGATTAAAGTATTATCTGCATGCTTACATAAAACGAATAATGGGTGTGATTGACGGATAAAGCTCTTTCTTGAGATATTTTAGATTTTATTTCTTTACATAAATGGGAGAGAATATTGATCAACACTTCTTATGCTTGTGCTGAAACTTCATTAAAGATTGCCACATCATAAATGAACACATATGTTTTTTTTAAATTACAATATTTGTACTTCAAGAAACAGAGCTAAAAGCTTATTATATTGGTAACACAAATTGACGTACCGAGTTTGAGTTCATTTGGTTACAGTCGGTCAGGTTACGACTTAGCTTGACACCATTGGTTGCATATCTGCCTTATCTATAAACAAAGGCTGGGGAGGGGATAAAGAAATTAATTAATGAGCTCTTGAAATTAACACTTTTCCCTTTTCAAAATCAAAATGATGTACTCATTCCGAACTGGACTATAAAACAAACACGTCAGGCAATATACATTTATAAAGTGGCAATAAAATGACAATTCAATGAAGAACTACGTATGCATTTAAAATATATTGAAACATATCTGGGTAGGATCATCTCATACGACTCTGTTGGATATGCTCCCGATACCATCAATTTCACATTGCACAACATCGCCTCTCTGAAAAATTGTCAGTAGAGTGCTAGTCATTAATTTTCATAAACTGGCATGTTAATTAAACTCTTATGATTTTAAGAAATTTAAAATCTTTTATGATAAATAAAGAAAAAAAGATATACTCCCCCAATAATTGTAATGAAATAGAATGGATAAAGTATGTTTTTGAATCATTCAATTGAAATATTTTTTGTGTAACCAATCAACGCTAACATTGCAGCCAACAAAATGTGAAGAATTATCATCCAATCTCTAATTATTGAACAGATGCAAAATAATATAAAACAGGGATCAATCTAGCATTCTTTACTAATGTCCAACTCTTTGTTGGAGTTATGAGACTTGGGATAGGTGCATGTACCTGGGCGATGTACGATAAAGACACATTTGTTGGTTATACCACTCAGCTCAAGAACCCAGTACCCCAATGTCTTTGTGACTAGTTATAGTGTCTCGGTGACATTAGCTTGTGTATGTAACCAAAAGCGATACAGTGTCTTGGTGATTTGCCATGATGTCTTGGTGACTGTGATTGGGGTTTGTCTAGAAGTTGCAGACTGTGTCGGGAAACAATCGAATTGAAAATTAAACCAGTCAGTCTGCAGCTTCAGGGTTAAGCTTGCATCAAGCTTGTACGTAAGCTGGCATCGTTGGTTCGATTATAGAAACGTTAAAATATGAATTTAGTGTTATATTTCGTTTAGATGTTCATCAGGTTGCATGACGAAGGTGATTAATCTGGAAGAGGAAGAATTTGCCTGATTTGGTCGTAAATGAATTAAAAACTATTTTGAAACATATCACTTTCCAAAACAAAGTAGAATACCAGAAACAAAAAAAAAAAAAACAAAAAAAAAAAAAAAAAAAAAAAAAAAAAAAATACAAAAAAAAAAACATCAATACAAACAGGACTGATGTATGTAATTATTGTCTTTTAACTAGGCGTTGGGTTAGCCTTGACCTGTGGCCTCGGTCAACAAACACCTTACTAAGTATAGTCACGTGTAGATCGAATTCATCAAACAATATCTGTTTAATTAAATGCCTATACTATATAACATGTTGTGTTACAAAATATCATAATTATATAAATAACAATTCAAAGCTATATCTGGCGTATCTGAGCTGCAAAAATTATTAATACGAGATTAAGTATGATATGTATGTACATGATATATTTTAATTACATGTACTTTCAAATTAAAAAACATAATTATGATATTGAAATTGAATAACCTCAAAATTTTAAATTGACATTAATCTTTAGTATTTTAGTGGGATCGGTAAATAAATCATTAATGTTTAAAATTTTTGATATCTTTGAAAAGTGATCGATTTAAATTGTGTATTTATATTGTAAAAAGTCCTATATCTAAATATAGTAATAAAATAAATAGATATAGCTTGTTATTTTTTTTATATCTGAACTTATCAAAAAATATGCCATAAAATAAAATTTCTAACTGCTGTAAAATTAAGGTACTTACATGTACTCTTGATTAATGAACATTAAATATGAAGTTCTTACCTGTAAGAATTCTGGAGGGTTCCTGGTAAAACCCACACCAGGGGGCGTGCCTGTCAGTACCACATCGCCCGGCTTCAGAGTGAGGAATCTGAACGGGACATTTACACAAGTGCATTTTAGTTAAGATTTGTGGTAGTCTATGGGCTACGTATTTGGTTTGTAACATATTGGAATTCAAAACAATCTCAATGTGAAATTTCTTCAGTATCTTGTTTTATCTCTGATGCATTTTCAAGTAGAAAAATTCTAAAATTGAGGATTGTAAATATTTAAAAAATAATTTCGTCGGTGTCATGCATGTTTATTTTGAATATACCTTGTGGCAGTATTAATTTGTATTTTCCCGCCATCCGGTAAATTCCAAATATACAACATAACATTCACTATACGACATATTTGATTCTAGTGACCATATGATCAGAAACTTTTCGAGTGTTGTTCCACAAAACCCTGATAATATTGGAGTGATTTGCCAGTACCTTGAAATATGTGCGATTATTGCAGCCGACTTGTGTACAAGTTGGTTTGTGTTGCTATTCTGTTTAATTATTCCGTTCACTTTGCATCTTATTCCAAGATTATGAGGATCTGTAATTTACCAAGATAAGAGAAATCACAGAATTCTTTTTACACAGTTAGATTTATTTGCGACTTTTTGTTTAGATGAGCTGACATTTACGCATAACCTGAACATTTAACGCATGTATAAGGCATTAGTACATTTGATCATTTTTGAGTATCAATTTTCTGCTATTTTTTTTAAATAAAAAAAGTAATCTCAGTCTCGAAAATGTTATTTTTCATAAGCTAGAGTTTACTTATCTGTGAGGGTGGGAGACAGAGAAATCATACACTTTGTCCTAGTTTTAGCGTTTTATAAGGAAAAGGTAGTCTACAGTACATGTACTTTCATTACAAATGTCATAAATATGGTTTTGGATTTGCAGGTAAGGTATAACTCATTTTAATAGAAGTGACACAATAAAAGATACCCTGAGTTACTTGAGCAATGCTGTTCTTTAACAGATTTCCCCCTTGTACTTGTGACCCTACGTTACCCCGGGGGTCATGACTCTACCCCAGGATGTTTTCACATAAGTTTCAGCTTTTCTGGCCCAGTGGTTTTTGAGAAGTTTTTAAAGTTTTTTCAATATATTTAAATGTAAAACTTGGATTCAATATTGTGACCCCGCCCTATCCCCATGGGCCGTGATTTGAACAATTTAGAATCTATCCCATCCAAGGATGCTTCCACATAGTAACAGATTTTCTGGCCAACTGGTTCTTGAGACTGAAGAAGATTCTAAAGATTTTCCCTATATATTTCAATGTTAAACTTGGATTCCCTATTGTGGTCCCGCCCTACCCCCGGAGGTCATAATTTGGACAATTTAGAGTCTACACTATCCTAACATGCTTCCAAATAAGTTTCAGCTTTCCTGGCTCAGTGGTTCTTGAGAAGATTTTTTAATGATCCCACCCTATTATTGTCTTTTCTTGATCCCAATGTGGAACGTGGAGACCGGTCCTTCGATTCGGATGAGACCGCATAAACCTACATTTGTAGGTCCCGTGTCGCAGTAGGTGCTGGCACGAAAAAGATCCCTCCCAACTCAATGGCACTGAGTGCCGAGTATAGGACAAAATTTGCAGCTCTCCACCGTCAAGTGGTGGCTTCTCCATATGAGTGAAAAATTCTCGAGAGGGACGTTAAACAATATACAATCAATCTTTTCTTGATTATCCCCCACTGGAATGGGATTTAGCCCTTCAATTTAACAATTTAAACAACTTCCTTTCAACCAAGAATGCTTTATATTAAGTTTGGTTGAAATTGGCCCTTTTGGTTCTTGAGAAGAAGTTAAAAATGTGAAAAGTTTAAGACGGATAACAGGTGATCAAAAAAGCTCAGATGAGCTAAAAATACCCAAAATATTAGATGAATGAACTCTAAACAATCACAAAATAAATGTACTTGTACCTGTTATGTAACTTTTTTCAGAATCTTGAAACTTATTTTAATCAATTGTGAACATGTCTTTATAAGTAAACAATTCTTTAAACCATGCATACAGGTGTAGACACAGTCTAGGTAAATGCTTACCACCTATTTCATCTTTAGTAACAATGGCGGGACCCAAGGGACAGAACCCATCCATGGCTTTGCCGAGAAGCACTTGTCCGCCATTTCTTCCGATCTGCCAATCACGTGCAGAAGCATCTAGTGCTACTGTGAAACCAAAAATGTGTTCCATAGCATTGCTTTCCTATAAAAGTCAACACACTAATCTAAAAGGTCTTTGAAAGGGATCCATGAAATATATATTGTATGATACACAAGGTGTAAATAGAATGAGTTGCTCTTTTCTGAAAATGATATCCTATATAACATTCATACGATGCAGTAAACACATTACTGCAGTTTTCACATAAATGAAGACGTATTATATTTTTATATCAAATGTTGCCTAATATTTCAGATATTCTTTTAATGCTGAACTCTCAATGTCACTGCTTATTTAACAATTTTCTCGACACAATTTAAACAATAGTTTTGCCTTAATTCTCGTATAAAACAAAAAAATATCCCCGGCTCACAAGTTCTTTTTTAAAGTATATTATTTCTTTTCATTTTTTGCTAACATAGGGATCAAATGCTGGTATGGGTCTGCAATTTTGCCATTAAGTGTCACTAGGTGTCATCTTTAAAACCTTGAGTTAATTCCCACCGTCTCAAATAGGCTCCATGTAATGGTGACCCTAGAAATGTTTCGGCAGCTGAGTGACAAAAAAGACCCATGCTACAGAAACGCAACAACATCACAACAAATTCAAGTTCTAGATCTAGTTGATGGCTCTCACGAATAGCTCATGACGGTTGCAATTAGAAGCCACCAGGAAACCAGTTCATCGACAAATCTTTTGTCAATTATGGTAAACACTAGGATAGGGACCTAAAATTTCAGAAGCCGATTTAAGGAAATTATGTCCAAGTGCCAAAGGAGATGAAAAGATATAACATCAAGGTACTTGTTTTATGTGAAGTAAGGTGGAATGGAAGAGGACTAGTCTGCTTATCGTCAGAAGAAAACAACATCTATTCGGGGCATGAGGAACAGGGCCATTGGCATGCTCAAGGGGTTGCCACCAGAAGCAACAAAAGCAATAAAAGCATGGGAACCAGTGTCATCAAGACTCATGTCAGCAGGTTCAATTTCAGGGGAAGGAAAATTACACTACATACCAACTAATGCAGCAAAGGAGTAGGGGAAGAAAGTTTTTTTTCTGCATTACAGTCAATGATATGATAGACCGTGCACCTCGCAGATATATAAAAATTGTGACAGGTGATTTGAATGCAAATGTGGGACAACACTAACTGAAAACTCATCATGGGAAACATGAGATCGGCATCTTGAATGAAAATGGAGAACTTTTTTATAAATCTCTGTGCATGTACTTTCATTGATCTAGTTATAGGAGGTACCATCTTTCCATACAAGGAGATATGCAAAATAACCTTGATTTCCCCAGATGGAAAGACAGAAAATCAGATAAATCATATAACACCATCATACGTAAATGGAGAAGAAATATGCTAGATGTCAGATCAAGACGAACATTTGGCGCTGCCTCTGATCACCAACTTGTTCCAGCTGCGCGAAGGATGAAACAGAGCATTCAAAGACCAACCAATCACACAAGAAACATAAGTTTGGGGCACTAGAGTGTCTGACAAGCATCCATAGAAGATCAATGGGTAAAGACACAGAGAAAAGTGCATGCAGTAATACTTAGAAAAGAAAATGATCGAGGAGACACAAAGAGTCGACGGCGGTAGGATGATACATACAATGATACATACATACAAATGGAGAAACCGAATGTAGGGAAGCCAACAAACAAGGCAAAAAGAGTGCTAGGAAGGAAAAAAGACAGTTCGTCCATGACAAGAGTGAAGAGGCAGAAAGAGAGCAGCCAGACAGAACAACATGAAAAAACTATATCAAATGATCAGAACACTGTCAAAAACAAATGTGAACACCAACACGCCAGTGAGGGACAAACAAGGCAAAATTATCATTAGCAATGTAGGGCAAACAGCTCGAAGAGTTAAGCACTTTAAGGAAGTTCTAATCGACCACCTCCACCCACCACCAATGAAAGAACTTCACATCAATGCAGGACCACCATCTAGCTAAAAGAATAAAATTACAAAGGCTTAAAAGAAAATGTCAATAGAAAGACGAAAGGCAGCTGGTCAAGATGATATCTCTCCTGGAACACTCAAAGCTACTCCAACAAAGTAAGCAGAGATGCTACAATCACTTCTGCAAAAGATATGAAAAAAAGAAAAAGTACCAGATTCTTAGAAAACAGGAAACCTGGTTAAACTACCAAAGAAAGGAGAACGGTCGAGGTGTGGTAACTGGCGAGGCATCAAACTTCCATCCACTGCCGGTACGATCCTAACAAGAAAATCTTGGAAAGAATGGAAGGAGCATTGGATCAGAGCAAACAGGGTTCCGCCATGACATATGCAAAGATCACATTGCAATACAGAGTGTTATCATTAAAAGTCCGTCCATTAAATAGCTGTCTCCTCTTTAACCAATCCTCTTGGACTTTGAAAAGAACTTCGTCAGTGTGGATAGGTCAACCGTCTGGACTTCAATATTATAACATTATGGAATTCCAGAAAAGTTCATATGGTTCATGTATTGTACATCATTCACAATGGGAAGTTCACGAATCCTTTTACTCTGGAAACTGGAGTAAGGCAGGGCTGCATCCTCTCACCAGCCTTAGTCATTGACTGGCTCCTGCTAGAAACAACAAAACGCAGGAAAACTGGAATCCAGTGGACCTTCAACAAACAGCTTAAGGACCTGAAGTTTGCAGATGACATTGACCTGATCCACACAAAAAACAACACGCTCAGGAGAAGTTATCACGATTGGCATCAAAATCATAAACCTGACCTTTAAATAAATATAAAGGCGACTCGGGTGATGAGAATTAATAACAAACAGGTATCAATCCAATTAACTGGGGAGATCATCAAAGAAACTGACTGAAATTGACTGATTCGCTAATCTTGGGAGTATCTGAACTAAAACAGTGACGCAGATACATTTACAGACGACATTGTCAAGAGCCGAATAAATAAGACATTGTTTCAGTGCCCTCAGACAAATTAGGATTTCTAATGCACTCTCTAACAACAGCAAAATGTTCAAGCAATTTTCGAAGATGGTTCTGATACCTGGAAGGTAAGGTAACTAAAGCAAAAAATTAACAAACTACAGTCTTTCACCAATAAATGTCTCCGCCATATTCTTTACATCAGATGGCCTGACAAAAAATTCAAACAACAGCCTGTTGGAGAGAACCAATCAAAATCCTATATATATTGAATTAAGACAGAGAAAATGGGGATGGATAGATCACACGCAAATCTCCTAACAACATCACAAAACAGGCTCTGGATTGGAATCCACGAGGAAAGAGGTGGTTTGGGAGACCCAGGCAAACCTGGAGAAGGTCCGTAGAAATGGAGGCAAAAGAGGCAGGTCTTACCTGAGCCCAATTGAAAAAAAAAACATCCCAAAGAAGGGTCCACTGGCGCGGTGTGGTTGCGGCCCTATGCTCTCCAAGGAGCGAACAGGAATAAGTCAAGGTTGCAAATTTAAAGAAAATCCTTTCATTACTACGTTTATTAATACACAGGGGTCATTTTCTTTTTATATATTATGAAATTTTGGAAATGTTGAATGAATATTAATTGCGGGTCTAAGAAGACCCGATTTCAACTAATAGATTCTCCTATACCATTTTCTAAAGATACAACGAATACCTGCAAACATAACATTACTTATCTCATAAATTTCATAGATTAAGATTACGTATATATTAACTACATTATTTAATGTTTATATGTCTTGAAGTCATAAAATTACTTTATATTGACATGTATTCATGCCAATCCATTCTGATGAATTAGGCAACCTCCTCCACTCTTCGATTCTAAGTGTAACGTTCATCTGATCTGAGTGGAAGTAGGATGCTAGTAAAATAACTTTGCATGCCTTTTTGTACTTATATGAGTTTTTTTATGCCCCTGTAAACGAAGTTTCGGGGGGTATATAGTTTTTGTCTGTCCGTCTGTTTGTTTGTCCGCAAAAACTTTAACCTTGTCCATAACTTTTGATTTGGTAGGGTTATGACCTTCATATTTCACATGTGTATTCCTTGTGACAAGATCTTTCTTTGGGTACCACCATATTTAACCTTTTGACCTTGGAGTTTGACCCACTTTTACACAAAAGTTTTACTTTGGCCATATCTTTTGAACAGTAGATACCAGGACTTTTATACTTTATATTTGTATTTTATAGGACAGACCTTTCATTGAATACCAACAATTTTGACCTTTTGACCTTGCCCTTGGAGATCTCAGTTCACATGAAAATTTTTTAACCTTGGCCATAACTTTTGAACAACAAGGGCTAGTGCTTTCATACTTCATACATATAATATTTGTGAAAAGACCCTTCATTGGATACCGAGAATTTTGACGCTTTGACCTTGACCTCGGAGTTTAACCTACTTTAAAAAAGCAAAACCTTGACCATAGCTTTTAAAGGGTTAGGGCTAGTGCTTTCATACTTTACATATTTAATCATTGTGACAAGACCTTTCATTTGATATCAAGAACTTTGGGCCTTTGACCTTGGAGTTTGGCGTTCTTTTTAAAATTTTTAACCTTAGCCATAACTTTTGAACGGTTAGGACAAGTGCTTTCATACTTCACATATGTTTTCTTTGTGGCAAGACCTTTCATTGGATACAATGACCTTGACCTTTTGACCTTGACCTAAAAGATTTCCGTGCTTATAAAAACTTTGACCTTGGCCTTCTTTCATATCCCACAAATGTATTTCAAGTGAAAATACTCTGTTTTGGGTACCAATATATTACATTTGCATTTTAAGAAAAGTTTAATCTTCGCTATATTGACATACGGGGGCATCAGTGTTTCACAAACACATCTTGTTGATACTCGATCTCTACTAATCATACATCAGATGTAGGAATAATTCGATCATATAAAAGGTACAAAAAGTTGATAGGCCCGAGTTTATACTCATGGTTTGTGACGAAGATTAACTTTAACAAACCTGAATGTTTTTAATTATACCTAGTCTACATGTAGCATCTTAATATTGTTTATATGTTGGTAGTAAGCGGATCATTTGTCTTAGGATATAATCTGATGGTCAGGATTTGTTATGCTTTTTTGTAACTCTTGTAACAGGATAACATGCTCAGAATCTAAAGCGTGAAAAATGTCGAGCATAATTTTTTGGAATAGTCATAATCTTAAAATTCAATAATTGACCCCTTTTCCAAAATTAGGCACAACTTCACTTTTTACATTTGATACTAGCTTATCCGGGATTATATTTTCTGCTTTTCCGCGACATTTTTATACCACCTCTTCCGTTACCCTATTAAAACAGGTTGTCCCCAGTTTCCCACGGATCTACACGAGTAGGGAGTGGGATCTCAACTGGAGATGAGTCTTTTAAAACACTTAACAAAAATGTTTATTTAAAATCATTAGCACTGGATAAATAAAAAATAAGATCGAAAAGCACTGGTCGAGAGTTTAAAAAGTCGACACTTCTGCATCTCGGTGAAGGCTCCAAGTAAGTTTTATATGTAAATTTCAATTTTTTAAAATCACAATGTAATTTATAATACAAAATGTTTAAAGAATGGATAGATTGTAAATTTTCTATATGTTAACAAATGTTGAATAGCTAACAGTGACTATTTTCAAGTTGCGAAAAGGAAATATCAAAAAAAAGGATATGAACATAATACAAATAGTAAAACACAATCGCGGAAAAGAAGTATAAAGTAGTCGCGGGAAAAAACAGACAGGTTGCAAAAATAAAATCATGGAAAAGTAGGTCAGTCAAATGAAGATCTCATAATAATTTTTTTTTTCTTAAAATTGTAAATCTTTGAATAAAGTTGGTCTAAATCTTGTTTTATAACAAAGACCCTGTATCTGAACTGTCACGTACAATTTCTTTTTGTCTAAACGGATCTACTTTTCTCTCCATTGTTTTTATGGTTTTACTTAATTCTCTGTATCAAATATAGATATTTACAATCTATCCATTCTTCAAAGGGACATGGGCAGTTTCAACTGATTTGAAAAAAAAACCCAAACAATTTTAATGTTTACAATTCCTAATTAACGCAATTCAAATGTTTAGCAAATTCGAACATCATTTGTTGATTTACAAGGGAGATCCAGAACTTAAAATTCTTCATTATGTAAACAAGGCTCGTGCCTTGTTTTTGTTTACAATACATATAGAAAATATTTTATTAATAACAAAACAAGACTCAACAAATCACTAGAAACTGTCTAATCGTATTAAGAATTAATTTGAATTAACTTCTTTATTGAAAAAATTCTGCTTTGAACGAACATTTCAGAAAATTTTTAGCTGAAACTGTCCATGTCCCTCTACCAAACAAATTTCAGGACAAATAACTGTTACTGTATTCCAGCTCTCTGAATAAAAACTGTGCAGCTTTAGATAGACAAGGGACTAAAATTTCACAACTTTTAAACTAGTAAATATCTTAAAACTAGTATGTTTTCAACGCATTGACTTAGCTCGATCGAGATTAGCGCTAGCATAATAGGGAGCAATACCTCGACACACCGGGCTTCTTTTCCGATGACAAAGGCCAGTTCCGCTTCCCAGTCCAGTTTCTGTATATAAATAACAAAAAAAGACATTCAGGAGAATTTATGAGTTATAGTAACGTGTATTCAAATTCTTGAGCATCAAATACGTTGGTGCTATGTCAGTAAAATTCGCAGAAAATACCTGTGTTTCCATTGGATATTCTAAATCATCTGAGGGACCAATGATACTGGAGGGAAACTTATTGAAGACCACGGGTTCCACGGGGACAGGGGCATTCTGTTCCTCACAGTGATCGCGGTAATTCATCCCCACACACACAACCTTCTCAGGGTTAGAAATCGGCGCCACTATCTTCACGGAATCTCGTGCAAGAACACATTTTCTTTTTTCAACTAAGCTAAAATATTTAGGAATTTAGATTATAAATAATTTCATGTAATAATTAATGATGACAGGTAAGTATAATATACATATATAAATATGCATCGGAAAACAGGGGACTAAGCCCTTTGCAAAATGCTTTTATTGATTAAAATATAATGTAATTTTATGTCCCTTCCTATGTTAATTGTTTTAAATAAATACTGGTGCTATTCCAGCAACAGAGCATTGTCTATATTTTCAGCTTGAATAAGACTTTTAGGAGCCGAATTCTTAAAAAAAAAAACAAGTAAAATACACACATGTTTACATTTTTACAAATAACTCATCTATCACATAATATAGAAAAGAAATAGTCGGAAAAAAACCCTTCCAGGTCAAATTATAGCAATGCAAGGTAACGATAAGGACATTCGAAAGGATGAATTAATGCGATAAATACACACTTAACCTACTTTTGAGCAGATCTTAAGTTCCCCTCTCCTCTTTCAATAAAACTTCGTAAATCTGGGGGAATTTTTGAATCCCCAGCACATAAATCCACGATATCCCCACCATCCTTTAACTCCACCCCCAAACTGAGGTTGCCCTTCCTTAAAAACTGAACAAATCGCATTTATAATGTCAATTTACAGCGTCCTATATTAAGACAATAAATATGGAGCATCAAAATAGCAAAAAATCAACGAATCTTGTATCATTTTCTAAATTGTGAATCTACCAGGGGGAAGTAAAAGCAATTTACAACATATTTTATAAATTTTGCGATTAGTTACCCCAAGTAAATTCAATCTCCTTTTTTCTCTCAGTATTTAGTAATTAAAGTCATTTTTAACGATCATATGGATATCGTTGTTTAATACTAATTGTAGCTTATCTGAAGAACTCATTTCAAAATAATTTTATCTTCAGGTGAATACAATACCGTCTGTAAATCTACCAGGTAATTTGATGGTATTTAAGTATTGTGTGGTCTTCTTACTTCTTGTTGCCACTGCTTTTGTAGTTGACAGCGGTGGATCCAGGATTTTCATAACGGGGGAGAGGAAGTAGAAAGTAGGGGGTCTGGGGGCTATATTGAAGGGGATAGGATACATGTTATACAATCAAAATTTTAAAAAAATCACACTGGAGGGGGGGGGGCACGGTGCTGGGATCCTTTGGTTGATAAAAATGTCACTTTTAATTCTATCAAAATACAGAACAGACCTCAATAAACAAAGCAGAGATGAGTTCAAGGCCTTTTTTTACGAAGACAAAAAAGTATCAACTTAAGGTTGCGAATTTGTCACCAGTCAATGAGGTATCCCGCTGCTAAGGCGATCTTATTTCTTCTGCTAGTTGTCAATATTAGCAGTTTTTATACGATTCCTTAATTCCAGATTACATCAGTCACACTGTGTAATCTTTATGACTATCCTTATATTGATATGTTTACAGAAGAAAGAGATGTTAAATGAATATTATTTCGTTATTTCATCATGAATCGTAGCTTTGAAAATTCCAATGTAAAACGTGTACACATATTTGATTGTTTATCTGTTTGTTCTAACTCTATCTTTCTGTTGTCAACTTTTACCTAACCCATAACTATTAAGTGGGTGGGGCTATTGCTTTCATTTCAATTGTGACAAGACATTTCTTTTGATACCACCAAATTTGCTCTTGACCTTGGAGTTTAACTAACTTTTACAAAGAAATACCACACTTTAACCTTCCTTCGGGTACAACTTTGGGTTGACCTTTTGACCTTGACCTTTGGAGTTTGACATGCATTAGAGAGAATTCATCTCTCGCCATAAGCTGCCATAGGGGGGCATCAGTGTTTCACAAACACATCTTGTTTGGTAATATTTTACAAATTAATTGTTGTTTGTCGAACCTTTAGGACATCAAAATAAAAACAACAGATTTACAGACAATAAGCATAGGCGTTGGAAGCAAATTGGAAGTGGGGGGTGGCTAATTGAATGTGTGTGTGTGGGGGGGGGGATCCTAAACCAACAAAAAAAAGATGAACCCCAATTTTCAATGCCTATATTATGCCTATCTTTGCAAAAAAGTGGGGGGTAAGCCCCCCTAGTCCCCCCCCCGGTTCCGACGCCTATGTACAGTCAAACTGATATGCGGACAAGACCTTTGTAAACTATGAACTTATTGTTCCCATAGTTAGCTTTAAGAGTTGAATATTACTATGGGTCTGTTCGTTCTTTTTTCTCTGTTATTGGAATTGTGCTAAGCATATTAAGGACGAACATGGTGTAAATCATGTGTATTCTAAAAGTAAAATTCTAAAGAACTTTTAGAAAAAATACAATCACGTCAAATATTCTCAAAAGTCAGTTACATCAAAATATTTTTACTTTTTGGCACTTTATACACCATTCCTCACGATAACTTACAGAAAAATAAATGCTACTCTAAAACTATTTCATATCGTGTGATTTTGTCATTTACAAGTGTACCTTGTAAATTTTACTCTTAAAATTTTTGTACTCTGAGAGTGAAATGAAAAACATGCTAAAGTTGCTCATTGATAATAACTATGCAATCTTTGGAGAATACTGTATGTCTTCCAACAATCTGTTGGAATTCTAATGGGCGTCAATTCCGCTCCTTTACTAGACGATCAGACTCTTTATTTCTCATGAAACGGAATTGATTTAAAAAAAAACTTATATGGGAATAAGAAAACACTTACTTAAGCATTCAACATGATATTTAGATATATTATACTTTCATGTAAATAAGATGAGTCTGATAGGTCGAGAAACATTTGTTAAAAAACACTGTTACACGCTGAATAATGAAGCCATGCCCAGCGTAGCAACAGTCAACATTGCTTGACGACGGGTGATATTCCAAAAAATAGCGACTGCGCAGAATTTATGCGCGCACGGTTCACTGTTATAAGTATTTGTATAAAACATTCAGTATAATATGATAAATATTCATGTAGTTGAGTGTAACATTGAAAAATTTTCAACCCTCGAAAACCATTGTCAAACTCGGCTGCGCCTCGGTTGACAATAGTTTTCTTGGGGTGAAAATTTTCAATGTTACACTCAACTACATGCAATATTTATATATTATCGACAGCGTTTAATCAACTAACAATAATTTTTTTTGGGGGGGGGGGTATTTGGAACATCCTTAGATGACCAACAAGCATTTGATCCAAATAATTTTTACATGGATAACTTAAATGTTTTGCTCTTCGTTCATGGAGATTATGATCGATAACTTATGATTGCATTTGAGATACGAAAGCTGAGCAATCTCTCAATGAAAAAGAATCCCTGTCGACGTGAAGGCATGACATCTTCGACTTTTTTTCGTTCATTAAGCGATTAATGTTATTGATTTAATGTGTAATATCATAATGTTTTTATTTTAGGTCCATTTCGGCTAATATTAGCGAGTAAATCGCAGAACCTGTTTGATATGATCCATTTATTTATAATAATATATTAAAAGGTTCATCTTAATATTTCTTGCATACTAAACACACACGGTGACACACCCCTTCTCCAAATGACCTCAACAATTAAACATGCATATAATAATGAATTGAAACAATTTAATTAACGAGGTTCGATCCTGATATTTAAAGTCTTAAACTTTTTTTGCCAAGTATATTTTTAGTTTCTACATACATTGCTTAATTAAAATTCAAATCAAAAAATGGGGGTAAATTTCTTTTGGCGCTTAAATATTTGCACTGAAATGTGTGTCTTAGTGAAAAATTAATTTTTTTACGTTTTCCCTCCAATATTTTTATCCAATTATAGCATGAAACAAAATGAACTCTTAGGTTGTTTTAAAAAAGACACTTAAAAATTGTGACTAAGAAAAAGTTTCAAATTCCTTCGCATAATCAATTATTTGACCTTTCTGCACTAATAAAAAGTGATTTTTCTGGCATTGAAAATTTAATTAACAAGAAAATTATTTTAAAGTCTTAAACTTTTTCTGATTTGAAGCAAATAGGTCAAATTTATCTTGAATATTTAGAAAAGAACATCAAAACATGGGGTATATGTTGTAAATTTTCAGATATTACTAAAAAAGTGTAAATTTTACGTTAAAATTAGCTCAATTTTTTCCTGGATTTTCATATATTTACTATATTTGTCATCTTTGTTGATAGAATTCATAAGAAATAATTGAATAGATATTTCACAGCATAACACATTTCACTGCAAAAAACAGCTTTGTGTGCAACCAGGATGGAAAAATAGGAATCGAAAATTAACAGTACTGTTATAGTTCAAAATGGAAAAACTGATCATTTTCCTAAAAAACCTTCCGACAAAATATAGTCCCTAGCTTAGTTCTACTTGAATGGAATTTAATCGCGGTTTTTTCATTGCATATAGTTAAATTTGCACTGTAGAATTCAGATTTAATGTAAGAACTTATAAATGATGCAAAATTTTATAAATAAAGGACCTGACCAAAATACTCTCAAAATATCAGGATCGAACGTCCTTAACAAAAAAAAATACAGTTCATTTTTGTTAATCACTTAATATGCACGACATCAATAAAATCGGCAGAGTACACGTAATTGGTCGGTCAGGGCGGCTGAGTGTCATTAATGAACATTGCTGTATTTTGCTAAATACACTAATCATGTGCGGCGTTTTACGATATGTTGTCACAAACAAATGACACCAGCCATGTTGATATAAAGCTACCTACCGACAAATCGATTTTTCTCCGCCACTGTGAAAAAAATCTCAGTACAACTTGGATCAGAAGCTTAGTATAGACAACGGTTAGCGGGCGGTGAGTATTGCTTGAATTTATTTTACTAATTAATACATTTTTCACGAAATTTAATTGCAGTATACTTCGATTTTGAATTTATTTATGTATAAAAAATTATTGAATTCAATTCGGTTAATTTATTATATCATTATTTAATTTACGTTACACAAAATAATCCATAATGGTACCATAAATACATAAATATAAGCTTTAATAAGAATACCATTTCAGGATGCAATAATTACTTTTCCTATGGGAATGTAATGAGTATTTTCAATGTTGATGGTGGTTGGGGCATAAAAGAAGATAACTAAAAAAAAAAAACGTAGACAAGCAACACACAAAGAGAGAGAGGGGGGTATGTGTATATTGTTTCCTAACCTTCTTTCACAACCAAATTCTATGAAAATAAAATTACCAAATGACTATAATCTAACAATGCTTTGACAAAAAGGGCACAGCTGGCCTTTCAGTGAACATTTTCGATGGGGGGGGGGGGGGGGGGGGGGTACTCAATATTACGTATCAGTACTTCTTTAAAAATAAGGAATAATATGTTGATTCTCGTATTTATCTAACCTTTTTCGTTTTTTTGCACATAATTTGATGCTCCTCCATCATGAACAAATATACATAATATTAAATATTATATATATATGTAAAATATATATATATATATATTATATATATATATTTATTTTATATATACATGCATGTAAGGACCCTAGAGAGGTTAATATGAACTAAACGTTTCATTAAATGTTTTTAGATTTTCGAGGACGAATTATTATTTTGTCATTTCGAACCAATGGCAAATCATAAAATATGCTGTTTAGTACTCGTAATTTCCTTGATAATTA